GTGTTTCAACCATTACTGGTACAATAAGTGTATACACTAGGTCTGCTCTAGATCAAAACCATGGTAAAAATGTTTTCTTCATAATATCTATATTTGATGTACGAGTGTAACATTCATGGCTAACCTTCTAGCCGCAGCCTCTTAATAGGAAGTGAGCATGGGTGTGCTTTTGGCTCCATCGGCTTAAATTCACTTTTCATTGAAAACCCTTTGTTCCTCTCTCTGTAACTGCTGCTGTCAGACTTGTCTTAAATGTTCGTAGTAACCCCCTCTATATGACATGATTATATTAAGATATGAACATCAATAATAGACCAATGAGCTGCCCTCTTTCGTAAAAGTCACTCCTGCTAGCATTGGCAAGAGCTTTGTTTGACAGTGCTGCTAAGTGACTGCCCTCTACCTAACTAGCAGTGGGTGTAATGTGTTGCTAAAATGTGAGCATGAGCATTGTGCATGCAGCACTCCATGATGTAAAACTGGTGACCCCATGTGCACTGAAAACACACAGTACTGCAGCCATGTCCCGATGGTCCATACCGCCATCACCACACTAATGCCGCAAATGTGTGCTCTGCTTGTGTGTGCATGTCACCTGCAGTTGTACTTGCCCATATTGAGTAATAATGTGTCAACCATTTTGTCAAATCTGCACTGAGGGGCTAATCAAATTCCCAGACGGGGGCAAAAGCCTGTTTTTCCGTTTAGGTACATGGTATTCATAAAAACTTATTTGAAATGCAACAAAAATCTGCCTATTAATGTGCGATTTGACCAGCCCCAACACACCCCCACATCTCCATAAAATATTCTAGGCCTGTAGAATGTTGTGATGTCATGTGTATTATGTATTATATAGAGTGTATCATATAGTGGCTAAACTCCACCCCCTCTCTGTGCTTTCAGATTTCCATAGTGAGCACAGACGATGACTTGTCCTGATTGTGGGCGCTGCGGTCACTTTTGTACCAACATGTATGAACAGCGCCCCCTGCAGACAGCCTGTCCCATCACACCACAGGCCTTTGACAGTGCACCAGGGCTTTGCACCTATCAAGGCAGAGGATGGACGTTTATTTATAATAACAGTGTGCCAATCAATTATGTCAAAGTATAAATAATTTTCTTACTTATTTATGTTCTGTAAGTATTATTTCTGCCCTAAAATATTTGTTTGTTTTCTGTATCGCTGTTTGACAGATGAAGTCTCTGCTGGCCAGATTCAGATTGAGACAAAACCAGTCTAACCACTGTTAGGAATTGTACATTGCACTTATTTATATCATGCGTTACATTTGCTTTGGCTGTTTCTGCTATAGTTCTAAATCATGTGTTGTCATGACAGTGTTTGACTTGTGTACACACCCCGGCTGCATCCTCGGACAGGACGCTGGATCAGGACTCTCATGCACTTTGAGCAGTTTCTTCTCATGTAAAGATTGTACAGATGTTTTCTTTAGGCCGGCATTTTCAGGTCCACTTTGTGAAGCACTCTTTTGTATGTGTGTGTGTGTGTGCCGTGGCTATGGGTTTTCTAACCTTGTACAGTATGTGCGATTGGAGAGCTGTGCCACTTGAAAATAAAGGCCTACGGTTGTTCAGATTTGGCCCATTCGTACCGTGTTTTCCATCAGCTGAACCACAGCATGACTGGTACCTACTCAGACAGCAGCATGTGAAGAGTAGACGACCCCAAACTGGATCATCCTTTGGATTTAGTGAAATTCAATGAATGGAAAAGTGCATTTAGTGTCATCTGGGTTGTCCTTCACCAAGGCCAGTGAAGAGAGCTAACAGCTAGCAGCCCAAACACACCAAGGCAAATGATAAAGTAGTTGTCTGCTTAAAAGAAAACCTTTTTTGTGGCCTAGTTATGTGGGGCACTGTACATTAGCCTTGTCTGTTGGTCAGAAGTCTGACTCACAGTCCCAGAGCTGCCCTGGATCCCAGCACAAGAGGAGAGGTCAGGGCTGCTGCTCCAGTAGCTCAGAGGGGAACCTGGTGTGCCTGGTGAGTCCTGTGGAGGGGGCTGGGATAGAGCTGGACCTCTGGAGGATTACTGCGTGTTTGCACACGTCCCTCAGGATTACTGCAGAGGTTACGGCTTACTGTGAACTCGAGCTGACCACCAACAATTTAATGAAGTCACTTCTGTGGTGAGACTGCTGTCAGCACGCCCCATCACTGGAGAATGGGGCTGGTTAATCTGTCTGATGATATTTACCCTTGAAGACATTTGTTAAACTCACAATATGCAAAGCAATTCATCACATTTGAATCCATCTAAGGTCCAACTCTTTCAAATGATCAGTCAATGATCAGCTTGGGGAATGATTCCTGTTAGTTTATTCTTCCTAGTTCTGAACTCTCCAAACTACAAGTTTTACTATTTTGTGTTAAATTGCACTGATGAAAAGTCTGCCTTGTTAATGAACATGAACTTGACATTGAAATAATATTTGCTTTTAATAAGAAAACATTGGGAAGAAAACCGTTGCCAATTGCCACTGTGATCCTGAGAGGAGAAAAGCTGCAGAAATAACCTTTATCTGTCTCATCTGGGATGAGGCAGATAAAGGTACTTAAGTTTGCACAGTTTGCATCATCAGTAAGAGCGGAGAGGTGGGCCCTTGTTCCTTCCCCCTTTTCTCCTCCCACTCTCCTCTTCCCCCTCCCCCTCCCCCTCTCCCTCTGGAACACATCTGTCCTGTGCTACACTCATCTGTGGGAGCTGTAGTGTCAGACTCTCTCGGGGAGGACCATGCTGACCACCCTCCGTGCCAGGAGCCGCAGCCTGTTCCATGACTCTGATGTGGGCATCAGGAGCCAGAGTGATGCCCTCCTCCACAGCTGCCTCAAACCATGGAACTCCCTCCAGGTCTGGGTTCACTGCTTCCACACTCTTTAAATGCTTTCACTAGGTTCAAAATTCAAGGCAAAACTTAAAGTAAAGCTATACTAATATGCATGTATCCAGAGATGTATAATACAATTATATTTTGGCCAATTTTCAGTGAAAAGTTTGTAAAAGTAGTATATCTCAAGGATGTGCAACTTTTTAACATTTATACACATGTTATTTTTATATGAAAAGGTGACAAACTTGTAATAAATGTTTCTTATGCTTCTGTGTGGGTAAACTACAGATGATGTTTCACATTTATTTCTTTATATTTGAAACTAGAAATAACTCTGGAGTCGAGGGTCCATGACATTCTCTGTGACATCACATATATAGCCACTTTGAAAACACATCAGATTTCAATGTGAAAAAAAGTACTGTATATCTATTCAAATATGGACAGGGCAATGCCCTAGGAAAAAAGGATGTCACTATTGGAAATAAAATTTTCAGCCTACAGAGAGCTTAATTTTATTGACACCCTGAAAATTAAAGTGAACTAATGATGTTGCAGGCCAGTCCATTTTGCCACAGTTAAATTTCTGCAGCTCAGAAGGCTTCTCAATATCTTGTGAGGTCCCCTTACACAGATCTGGGAGAACATCCCACGAGTCTTGTGGGATGTCCTCCTAGATCTGTGCAAGGGCATCACTGAGCTCCTGTAGAGTCTGATGGACTTAAACATAATGTCCCAGAGGTGTTCTATCAGGTTTAAGTCATCTGATTATGAGGGCCATTCAGTTATATCAATGCTTTCATCCCCCAGATACTGTCTGCATACTTTTGCCACATGAGGCCGGGCATTGTCGTGCTGGTAGAGGTCTGTGTGTCCATGTATATGCCTCCCCAGATCAGCACTGACCCACCACCAAACTGCTCATGCTGAACCATGTTGCAGGGATCATAGTGTTCTCCTGTCTTCTCCAGACTCTTTCACGTCTATCACAGGTGCTCAGGTGAATCTGCTCTCATCTGTGAAAAGCACAGGGCACCAGTGGTGGACTTGCCATGTCTGGTGTCATGTAGCAAATGTGAGTGGAGCTCCACCGTGCTGGTGGTGAACACAGGGCCCACTACAGGACGTGGTGCCCTCAAGCCACCCTCATGAAGTCTGTTTGTGATTGTTCGGGCAGAGATGTTCACACTAGTGGTCTGCTGGAGGTCATTCTGTAGGACATGGGCAGTGCTCAACCTGTTCCTCCTGCACAAAGGAGCAGATATGGGTCCTACTGATGGGTCGAGGACCTTCTTCAGCCCTGTCCAGCTCTCCTAGAGGAACTGCCTGTCTTCTGAAATCATCTCCATAATCTGGAAATTGTTCTGGAGACACATTAAATCGCCTTGCAACAGCACGTCCGCATGTGCCATCCTGGGGAAGTTGGACAATCTGTGTAACTTAATAATGGTAATCACTGCAGCCAAAGCAGCACTAGTGAAAACCAGCCAAGAACACCAAGAGGTAGAAACTTGAAATGACCTCCACATGCAAAACCAGTCCTGTTTTAGGGGTTGTGTCATTGGTGCCGCTCTAGTGCACCTGTTGTTCATTTCCATTAAAAGAGGTGCCATCCTTTTGTTCCCAAGACATTGCCCTGTCCAGATTGGTATAGCTATACAACAGATTTTTTTTTTTCATATTGAGATCTGATGTTTTCAAAGTGTTGCTTTAATTTTTTTGAGCAGTATATATAGTGTGTACAATATGCTGTCCTGTATGCGTGTGTGTAATGTGTACAGTCTGCTGTACTGTGTGTCTGACAGGAGGTGAGCAAGGACATCTATGACATTTATGCAGAGTATGAACATGAAGAGGATGTGGAGCAGTTCCCAGTGTCCCCAACCAAGCACTTCACCCTCAACATCAACGTGGGAGGGATGGTGAGTCCCTCTGTCCCCCTGTCCTCTAGGGTCTGATGGACACACATCTGTCCCACAAACAAAAACACCAGAGCATATCACATGGTTGAACTGAAGTGGTGTTTGGTCCACATGTGGACAGATGTTTGGCTCACAGTTCTCTGCTCAGTGTAGTTAAGAAAACTGAGGTTTTCTTTTTCCCACCATATTCATGTATGCATTGACCCCTCCCCCTCCTCAGGTGTACCGGCTGCCCTACCAGCTGGCCGCCCGCTACCCAAAGAGCCGCATTGGTCGCCTGGCCACCTGCTCCGATCACAGTCTCAGACTGGACCTGTGTGACGACTACATTGTTCACAGCCAGGAGTTCTTCTTCGACCGAGACCCCTCGGTGTTCCACCACATCTTCACCTTTTACAGGTGAGTCCCCCGCCTCCTCTTCACCTTGTACAGGTGAGTCCTCCTCCTCCTCTGCACCTTGTACAGGTGAGTTGTCTGCACATCCAAAATGGACCTGTTCATATGAATAAAAAGTGGTGTAGTTCTGCTTTAAACTGATATGGTCTCTTGTCAGTGTGCTATGGTCGTGTCTCCAGAACAGGCGTGCTGTGGATCAAAGATGAGCTGTGTCCCCGGAGCTTCCTTGAGGAGGTGAACTACTGGGGCGTGAGGATCCGGAACACTCAGCGCTGCTGCCGCATCTCCTTCGAGGAACGCCAGGACGAGCTGAACCAGCAGCTGAGGATACAGAGACTGCTGCTGGAGGAGGTCGGTCCATGCGCTCCACATGCTCCGCACACTCCACAAGCTCATCCTCATATTACACGTTTCAATCAAGTGAAATGCATGTCCAAATCTTTTTCAGGGAAGTTTAAGACATTCATCAGTCTGCAGTCTTTTGTATTTGACTGCCATATTAAATAAAAGATGAATCAAGCCCAGTATGAGCTCTGGTAAATGAGACAGGGACCGTTGCTGTGTCTGGTCTGATTGTTTTTTGTGTCTTTACTGTGTTCTCAATAGTCGCTGTGTGGGTTTGGAGATGGTCCCACATGATCTGTGTCTCGACATGTGTTTACAGCTAAGCCTCGTCTCTGCCCACATCTGGACAGCTGTTTGGCTCACAGGTCTTTTAGTTTGTCCTGAAATGTCAGAAATGAATGGATTTTTAACAATGATTTAATTGTAAACCTATTTTAGATTCTAGACCACTATTCTGAAATTAGAGCCATTGAATGCTTGAGATCTGAGACAGTTGTTTTTTTATGGGATCAATGAATGAATGGAGATAATAAACAACATTATTATTTAGAGAAGCTAATACTTTTAATTTTTCAGTAAATTTTATCTTAACTTTGTCTGACCAGGCTGTCCCTTCCACTGTAATGTGGAAGACATCCTCCAAAATTCTTGTATCATTCAGAACAACATGTACATCTTTTACCTGACATAAATAAGAGTTTGGTGCTTTAACTGCTGATTCTGCAAAAAGCCACACCATTTCTCAGTTCTGTTTGTTTGGGCCTAAACCTACCATGTGCATCTTTAATTGGTTAACTGGCCTGTCAATCACGCCTGTCTGAAATCAGAGAGGCAGGACACAGTTCTAGACCTACTTCTTTCTAAAGTGTTGTCAAAGCGTATGGTTCAGGCTGGACAAATAAGTTTTGACTAATATTTATATTTCATTTTTATTTCTTTCACCTTTATTTAACAAGGAAAGAAATCCCACTGAGATTAAAAAACTTTTTTTTTCAGGGGAATCCCGGCCAAGAGGCAGCACTATATCTTTCCTTTATTATCTTAAAGAGGTGGTATTATATGCTTGGCCCAGACTAGTTAAGATGAGGATGACATTGTGTTTGTGTCCTGCAGGTGGCAGTAGAGGAGAACGAGGTTCTGTTTTGTCACATGCGCTGGGGGCGGAGTCGACGGGCGTTGTGGAACCTGATGGAAAAGCCCTTCTCTTCTGTGCCAGCTAAGGTCATGGCAGTGGCATCATCCATGTTTGTGCTCATCTCGCTGGTTGCCATGACACTCAACACTGTGGAGGACATGCGCTTCCAGGTACAGCCACAGGGACAGTCAGCAAAGTCAACTGAGTCCAATTCTTAACACTACTCCAAGAGTATATTAGTAACTGATGCTAAATCCTTACACCACATTCTGAGCAGTGGCTTACCAAACCTGTTAAGGGGTTCTTTTTTGTACGTGATTGTGTTACAGTGGGAAATACATTTGGCAGCTCATGTCTGGTGCAGCAGCTCCAGTATTAACCCTTGAGGCACTCTCAAGGTTTACTCAGATTACAGTTCTGCACTATTGATTTTCCTTTTTTTAATTGAACACACTGATGTCTCAATTCAAGATATGATGTACATCAAATAGATGCTTTTATAAGAAATGTATTTGTCTACATTTTATTAGAGGACATTTATGGTTTCTTATACGTAGAACTGCTTCTCCACATTTGCCTTGACTACTGTTTGTAGTTTAATGTAGTGAAAGGATGTACAGCATTATCAGTACAGAGCATTGTTCAAAATCCAAACTGAATTGATTTTTAGTTTGGATTTGTTCAGCTGAGTCCCCAACTTTTTAAAATTTTGAAATGAAAGAAAGTAAAGGAACTGTATGTGGCCTACGCTCTTGCTGTTTTAAAAATGTGCTACAATCACAACTGAACTTGGGTTGCTATTGTCTTGCAGATAGAGGCACATCCAAGTTCTTCTCATTGTCAGTATATAGACAGCCATGTGAAAGCTTAGAACCTCCAGAATTCCATCCCTGAGCTACAGAGGCTGCACTAGCACTGACTCATGACTGACTGTAGGTGCTGTGGTTCAGGTGACCATTCAGCTCAGAGAGAAGCATTTTAGGACACACAGGGTCAAGTGTATGAAATATGAAATATAAAATATATATCTATCTATCATTCATTCATTCACTCACACTCACCCATGAACTCTATCCATGTGTGATTAAAAGCTCATAATAGTCTCTTTTACATATGTCCCCTTTTAATGTCCTCTTTCCATGTGCACTAGACTGCTTGGGGCCAGCTGAACGGCAGGATTTACGGTGAGAGTGTGGAGACCTTGTGCATTGCATTCTTCACTCTGGAGTACATACTGCGTCTGGTGTCTACTCCAAACCTGAGGCGCTTTGGGCGGAGCATGCTCAACACAGTGGACCTGATCGCCATCCTGCCCCATTACTTGCAGATGGTGCTAGAGCGCTTTGAGTACGAGGACATCCATCTGGACTCAGAGGATATCGAGACAGTGGGACGTGTGGGCAAGGTGAGAGAGGTCACACTCAGGATACACAAGAGATCAAACTTGATCTCTGCACCAGAGTATCTTAAAACTGGCTTATTTAGCAAAACCTACTTTTCAGATCTTTTACTCATGTTATAGTTGTTTCCCCTTCGCATTTACTTGCTCGAAGTTGTATTTGGAGTGATTTGTGCATGTTTGTAATTTTGTAATCTTTAATTGCTTATTTTCAAGACGCAAATCAACTCGTGTGTTCATTGCCACTGGTACATGCACATTGCTCTATACTTACTACTTCTCCAGACTTCCTTCACCCCTGACACGTCCTCCAGCTCTTCCGGGGGGACCCTGAGGTGTTCCCAGGCCAGCCCAAAGACATGGGTCTTCCACAGGGCCTCTGTCTGGTGGGACATGCCCAGAACACCATGCAACAGATGCCCGAGCCACCTCAACTGGCTCCTCTCGACGTGGAGGAGCAGCGGCTCTACTCCGAGCTCCTCCCGTGTGACTGAGCTCCTCACCCTATCTCTAAGCCATCCTGCGAAGAAAACTCATTTCGAGCGCTTGTATCCACAATCTCGTCCTTTCGGTCATTACCCAAAGCTCATGACCATAGGTGAGAGTAGGAACGACCCTCTTCACCACAACGGTCCGATACAGCGACCACATCACTGCAGACGCTGCACCGATCCGCCTGTCAATCTCACGCTCCATCCTCCCCTCACTTGTGAACAAGACCCCGAGATACTTGAACTCCTCCACTTGAGGAAGGGACTCTCCACCCACCCGGAGAGGGCAAGCCACCTTTTTCCGGTCGAGAACCATGGCCTCGGACTTGGAAGAGCTGATCTTCATCCCAGCTGCTTCACACTCGGCTGCAAACTGCCCTAGTGCACATTGCAGGTCCTGGCTTGATGAAGCCAACAGGACAACATCGTCTGCAAAGAGCAGAGATGAGATCCTGTGGTCCCCAAACCAGACCCCCTCCGGCCCCTGACTGCGAACAGAACCGGTGACAAAGGGCAGCCCTGGCGGAGTCCAACATGCACCGGGAACAGGTCTGACTTACTGCCAGCAATGAACACAGCTCCTGCTCCAGTCATACAGGGACCGGACAGCCCTTAGCAAAGGACCCCGAACCCCATACTCCCAGAGCACCCCCCACAGGACACCACGAGGGACACGGTCGAATGCCTTCTCCAGATCCACAAAGCACATGTGGACTGTTTGGGCAAACTCCCATGAACCCTCGAGCACCCGATGGAGAGTGTAGAGCTGGTCCAGTGTTCCACGGCCAGGACGAAAACCACACTGCTCCTCCTGGATCCAAGGTTCTCCATGTGCACTTGGACTCCATGTCCCCAGCCTCCCCCAGAATCCAGAAGAAGTCTTCCCGGAGGTGCGAGTTGAAAGTCCCTCTGACAGAGGGCTCCGACAGACATTCCCAACAGACACTCACTACACGCTTGGGCCTGCCAGGTCTTTCCGGCTTCCTCCTCCGCCAGTGGACCCAACTCACCACCACTTGGTGATCAGTTGACAGCTCTGCCCCTCTCTTCACCCGAGTGTCCAAGACACGCCAGAGGTCAGATGACATGACTACAAAGTCGATCATCGACATCTGGCCTAGGGTGTCCTGGTGCCACTTGCACTTATGGACACCCTTGTGCTCGAACATGGTGTTTGTTATGGACAAACTGTGACTAGCACAGCAGTCCAGTAACAGAACACCGCTCGGGATAAGATCAGGGAGGCCGTTCCTCCCAGTCACCCCTCTCCAGGTGTGACTGTCATTGCCCACACGGGCGTTGAAGTCCCCCAGTAGAACAACGGAGTCCCCGGTCGGTGCACTGTCCAGTACCTCTCCCAAGGACTCCAAGAAGGCCGGGTACTCTGGACTGCTGTTCGGCCCCTAGGCCGACACCACAGTGAGAGACCTGTCCCTGACCCAAAGGCGCAGCACACGGCATCTGAGCTGTGGGGCAATGAGCCCACACCAGCTCGCCACTGCTCCCCGCAGCCAACGTCAGAGAAATAGAGTCCAGCCCCTCTCAAGGAGTTGAGTTCCAGAGCCCAAACTGTGTGTGGAGGTGAGGCCGACTGTATCTAGTTGGTAGCACTCAATCTCCCACACAAGCTCAGGCTCCTCCCCCCCAGCAAGGTGACATTCCATGTCCCCAGAGCTATTCTGGAAATAGGTCCAGAGATCCGGTTGCCGAGGTCTACGCCTTCGACCGCCGCCCAGATCTCCTTGCTCCGGCCCCATATGGCTCCTCCCCGCAGGTGGTGGGCCCGCGGAAGGGCGGCCCCAAGTCACTCCTTTGGGCTGTGCTCGGCCAGGCCCCGTGGGGAAGGCCCGGCCACCAGACGCTCGCCGTCGAGCTCCAGGGTGGGGCCCCGGTAACACCATTCCGGGTGGCTGGCCTCTGCGTTGAACTCATCATATGGCGCTTCTTCTGCATGCAGCCCTTTGATGACATTTACATCGATGTCAGCTCCCATTGGGCACCAGTTTTCTAACACAGGAGTCAGTGGACTCTTTTATTAAGTTGTTTTAGATCAATATTATGATTCTAAAATATCCAAATGATAACATAATGAACCACAGGTGCCATAGTTTATAACTATAGAAGAAAGACAAGCACTATGTCTTCTTTTTCAAGTGCATTTAAAGTGCAGGTAAGGTTACATTTCTTCCTGTTTGGACATGGACCAAAACTCGTCTAAATAATAGTAAATAGTTATCCTTTTTTTTTTTGTCTCAATCGTGACATCAGAAAAATGCCTTCTGTGAAAATGTTTGGATGGAGTTTTCCACACTGATGATATAGGCAAAAGAATTCTGTTTTAGAAGTAAGCACTACTTTTAGTACTTTTGTTCACATCTCTTTTCCTACAAACTGTAACTAACGTAATCTGGGATGAATCTTCAGCACAGGGAATATCCCACCAAACCAAGTAATTACTTAACATGAACACCTGTCATATGCACTTTACATTGTATTCTGTTGTTGTCCTTGTATGGAAATGAATGGTTAATGCTTTTTTCCCCTTGTTTACTGTCCAAATGAATGTGATTTTTCCCTCAAAATAGTGATGTCACATGACCTCTGGTTTGATTCTAAGCTCTTGTCAATTTTGAATAAAAACCTAAGCAGGCAGTCCCATGGCCTCTGTCCCAGAGAAGTGTGTAGGTTGATGAATATTGTTCTAAAATGAATCCAGATGTGATGTGGTACTGCTGTCCATGTGTGCCCCCTGCAGGTGGGACAGGTGCTGAGGATCATGCGGCTCATGAGAATCTTCAGGATTCTCAAGTTGGCACGACACTCGACTGGACTGAGGGCGTTTGGCTTCACCCTGCGTCAGTGCTACCAGCAGGTCTGTTCTGATCTTTCACATGAGGCGTGATCTGTCCAGATAGAGAATGAACACACACTTGGATGTGCCCCTCTGTCTGCAGGTTAAGGCTCTGGCAACATAGGTTCAATTGAGATTACAGTCCAATTTTTTGTAACTGTAAGAGTGCAGGCTACATACAGTTCCTTTAATAACTAATCTTAATCTTTGTGTGTTATTTATATCGTGTGTGTGTGTATATATGTACGTACGTACATACATATATACACACACACACACACAAGATATAATGTATGTATAGATAGAGAGAGACAGAGACAGACACAGAGAGACACAGAGAGAATTTGTACACGATGTATATCGGTTGGCCGATATTATCGGCTGATATGGATAACTTTAGGCATATCTGCTATCGGCCGATATGCTTGCTGATAGGGGCCGATATTTCACGTGGGCATGTTATACCTCGTTATAAAGCTTAGACTCTCTACATTCTGTTCATTTAATCCAATTTACAGACAGATAAATGTCCTAATATGTGGCTCCACATCAGTATTTATCTACGGAGTCATTTGTCTGTGTGTGTTCGTACTGTCCCTGAACACACCACAGAATCGCGTCACTCACGTGTGTTTGTTTACACCTGCAGACACAGATCCAAACACTGAGATTATATTCTTTTTTACGGACAATCGGTTTGAGTCTGGATTAAAAGGACATTTATTAGTGCAGAATTGTGATGTGAGGAGGAGCCTGTATGAGCGGTGAGTGTTGGAAATATGTCGACTCTGAAGCTAGTTTTTGTCATTTGTTATGGGTTAGCTGCTGTAGCTCCCGCACATAAACAGACTGTTTTCTATTGGTCTGTTCTAAAGTGACTATATTGGCCGTATATTTGCTACTGGACCTGCACTGATATGTAAATGAGCTGTGAACAGACGTGTGAATTATGACATTTGCGCATATAATTAATTAGCGCGGCGCGCACGTATTTACGGCTAAAGGCTAATAGCGCTACTTTCTTTACTAGTTATGGGTCCGTCGCGAACGAAATGACTCTTAGAACCGGCTCTTTGAAGGGAACGACGGGAGCCTGATCCTTATTGGGAGCCGTGTTTTCTCTTTCTCTCACTTTTTTCTCTTCCCGCCGCGTGCAGATTCGTGGTTTGACAGCGGCAGCGGCTGAAAACGAAACTTTGAGAAATTTGCGTGTACGTAGGATTAAAGAAAATAAAAATTAAAAAAACGAGCATATTTCACTGTAGTTTAGCATAAAATAAATAAGTCCCGGTTTAGTCCTTTTTCAGTCCTGGTTTAGACCTGGTTCAGTCTTGATTCAGTCCTGCTTTAGACGTGCTTTAGTCCTGCTTGCAACAAAACAATCTGAAGAGTCACTTGGGAGCCAAAAGAACCAGCAGCTTTTAGTGAGCCGAGCCAAAAGAGCCGGTTCTCTAAAAAGAACTGGAATACCCATCACTAGCTGCTAGAATGTGATGCAAAAATGCCATTAAGCCAACCTACTGTCTGTAAATATGATGTAAAGAGTCAGAATAACAATAAATGTTGCCAAAATAAACCCAATTTAAAATCCACCAGAGCCAAACCTAAGTTTTTTAAACAATTCAAGATTTACAGTGAATTTTTACATCACTAAATATATCGGCGATTATATCGGCTATCGGCAGCTCCAACTCCCATTATATCGGTTTCATATCGGCCACAGCAAAATCCATATCGGTCGGGCTCTAGTTAATAGGTTCTTTTTCCATACCTGACAGTTTCAACTGGTCATTAGTGGTCTTCCTCAGGGTGGTCACGTGATGTTGCTGTGACATGTCCGGTCAGCTGATTTAAACAGGTTTTGGTGCTGTCTTCCTACCGTTGGAGGCAGGATGAAGGCGCCATCTGCAGTCTGACTTCCTCAGGACATTATCCCAGGTGTGATCTGTGCGTCTCAGTGCTAAAATGAGGAAGTATCTCTATTACATTAAGTTCATTTTCCATCTCAGATCTTCATCTTTATCCAACCTGCAGAGCACAGACCCATAGTAAATCAAGACCCTCAAATCCAGTGGAGTTCATGTCTCTTGTGCGTGCAGGTGGGCTGTTTGCTGCTGTTTATTGCCATGGGGATCTTCATGTTCTCAGCCATGGTCTACACGGTGGAGCATGACGTCTCCAACACAAACTTCACATCCATGCCCCATGCCTGGTGGTGGGCCGCGGTGAGTCTGCTCTTACTGCATCAGGAGAGAGACTGGAAGGGTCTGAGGGACAGTGGGATTTTAAGGTTTGAAAAAAAAAAGTTTAAAATTGTTCCTTCTTCATTCCAATGTCTGCTTTGGTATTATTTGAGTTTAGTTTAGTAATGTTTGAGTTTCCTTTAAATTTAGAAATAAATCAGTTTGTTTTTGATCTCCTTTGGGTTAATCATTAATTACAAACTACATGATATCCATGGTATAGTCATTTTAAATGTGTTTTAATCTAATAGTCTAGGCCAATTTAAGCCAGTTTGTATTTAGATATGGTGAGTCTGTAAGTCCTTTAGGATTGATTTGATGAACATAAACAGTACAAACCTTTAATCAGTATAATTTCAGTTCTTCTCCAGACCACATCATGTACAGACAGAGGCCTGGCTATAGATGTCTATTAATGGAGAGATCTCACCATGAAAAACCCTACCATATCACTGCCAATTACACGACTGTCTCACCATCTCTTGATCTTTTGATTAATTGCCCAGCACTAGATGTAACTCACCAGACACCTTTTTTTTGTCCGATTAAAAAGTAAAGATAGTATCTTAAGTAGTACTGAAAAGTGAAACATTTAAGAGCCACTGGTGTTTATTTGAAGGAACAATGTATAGACATTAAAGGCCCTATATTCCACAGAATTGACTTGTGTAAGGTTTAAGATCCAACATTTTTTGTTTCATTCAAACATGCCTGAGTAATGCTGTACTGTAAGACTGTCTACATCTCCAAAGCTCAAAATGCTGATGAATGATTTTGTGGGTATACAATTGCAATCAGCATTCTGTGTTCTAATATTTTGGGTATTTAATCTCAGTGTGCATTACAATTATATTAAAAATCATACAGTGTCATTGCAGTTATTATCTATGAACTTGAAGCCACAGTACAGTCCCTGACAAATGTCTTGTCACTTCTCCATTTTGTAGAAACAGCAGCTTATAACCTGACTTTTAATTAATCCATGGGTTTTAGAAATGGCTCATATAAAAGCTAAAACTCTCCCAAATGATGTTTAATATACTAAAATAAATTTGCTTCACTGAAGAAAGATTGATCATTTAATGAACACAGAAAGGTCAGATTTGGGCAAGACAAAAGTTTTTTCACCTACAGAGAGTAATGTGAAAATTGAACAAAGAATTGACTTAAAATACAAAAATATGTTGCATAACATCAGTGAATTAAGTAGTGGTGCTGTGAGATCCATATTTAATATCTTGTCTGACTTCCATGAGCTTGAAGGACACATCCATGCAGTTCGACAATGACTCATATAATTTATTGATGAAGTCATCAGGAATAGCGAAGAAAGCAGTCTTACATGCCTCCCAGAGTTCATCAAGATTCTTTGGTTTCGTTTTCCATGCTTCCTCTTTCATTCTACCCCAGACATGTTCAGTGATGTTCATGTCTGGTGACTGGACCGGCCAGTCTGGAGCACCTTGATCTTCTTCACCTTGAGGAACTTTGATGTAGGTGGAAGTGTGCGATTGAGCATCCTGCTGCAAAATTTGAACTCTTTCTGGTTGGGAATGTAAGAGGAAGTTAATACTTCTTGATTTTAGGCTATAGATATTGCCTTCCACCCTGCAAATCTCTAGCACAGCCCCAGACCATGATTTTTCCGCCACCAAACTTAACTGTTTTCTGGGTGAATCTTGGATCCATGCGGACTCCAGTAGGCCTCCTGCAATATTTGCGGCGGCTATGATGTAATTCAACTGAAGATTCATCTGAGAAATCCACCTTCTGCCACTTTTCCAGTGTCCATCCTTTTAGCAGGCTGTGGGCCTTGGCAAATGCCACACAGTTTTTTAATTGCCTTTTGTTTAGTGCTGGTTTCTGTGCACTGATTCGACCATGGAGGCCATTTCGAGACAGAATTCTACAAACTGTTCTGCTTGACACGGGGACTTGAGGTGACCAGGCCTGGTGGAGTCTGCTGCAGTGGAAAAGGAACTGACTTTGTATTTTCAAGCCAACAAACGGACCTCCCGAGCAGTTGTCTTGCACGGTCTACCGGACCTCGGCTTGTCAAAAACATCTCCAGTCTCTTCAAATCTTTTTTCTTATTCTTTGTACTTGACGCTGAGACACATTGAAGGTGTCAGCCACCTCAGCAGTGGATCTGGTCTTCAGCCTCTTGATAATAAACGCTTTGGTCAGGGTGGATCTTAGGCATGTTGTCAGAGGTCAAGTTGCAGTTGATGTGAAGGTCTGGTGTGCTGAGGTTCTTTTTATACACACCCACTAACTGACTGATCACTTATTGATCACAGCCGAGGCTGTAATTTAGGACTGGGTGCATCATATGACAAGGCGAAAAGACTTTTGTCTTTGCAAAAACTGACTCAGGCTTTACCAAGCTGTGAACGTTAGGATGCTTTTCAAGCAGTTTTGTTTTGGCACCAAAACATTTCAAAAACTGAAGTGTCTGAAATTAGTAATTTCTTGTCCAAAAAAAAAAAAAAAAAAAAAAGATTAGACTTATATTTGAGGGGCACTCAAGGTCAACTTGTACCCAAGTGACAAGACTTTTGTCAGGGACTGTAAGTAACTTTTAGAATGAAAATAGAATAAAGTCTTCTTTTTTTTTTTTTTCATATTTGGATATTTATTGTACTGAAAAACATGCATCCTTACTGTGAGGGGCCTTGCATCTCTACAAACCTGACGCTTACTTAGTTAGGAGGGCATGGAAATGCCGTTCATTTGGCTTTATTCATCCACAGTATTGCATAAAATTGATCTATGTCCATAGAGAATGTTCTCAAGTATGGTTTTTAACTTTTTTTCTATGGCAACATGCAGACGACACGCTACCTCCAGAAAGTTACAATATGTAGATTTTTATTCCCCAAGTCTGTCCCTCCATGCCCCACCATTCAACATGTGCCTCTATTTTTCACAATCTGAGATGGTCAGCCTACTTAGTACAGCATTTTGAGCATATTTCAACTGAAACCATGTGAAGTTTTGTTTTTTTGTTTGTTTTTCTTGACTTAACTAAAAAAAAAAAAAACTTTACAAAATGATGTTTGAGCAGCGTGCTTTTTCAGGCCAGCATCTCCACGGTGGGGTACGGAGACATGTTCCCGGAGACCAACCTGGGTCGGATATTTGCATTCGGCTGCATCTCCTTTGGGATCATCCTGAATGGCATGCCCATCTCCATCCTCTACAACAAGTTCTCGGACTACTATGCAAAGCTTAAGTCCAATGAGTACACAGCCATCACCAAGGCCCGTGGCAAAGTACACTTCACCCGCCGGGCCCTGAGGCGGCTCACACAGCCCCGCAAAGCCTGATCCAACCACCAGGGGGCACATGAAACATCACACCAGCTATGCATATGTGTTGCTGTGCGATCACTGAGCCAAACAGCATTGCATTTCTGACCATTTTAAAGTGGAACTAAACCAAAATCCACACTAAATCTTATGGCTCCTAAACTATGTATATAGTGTTTTAATAGCATTGTCTGTTCCTAGTCAGTGTTGGCACCCAACTAGCTAAGCCTGCAGCTTTGTGCAGGCAAGCATGGCTAAAAATAAAATTGTGTGTGCGACCTACAGTGGCCTCTGCATTTCCACTAGTTGTAAACAGAGCAGTCTTTTGTGATATCACTAAACTGGCTGTAGGGGCGGAGTTCACTGTTCCTCATATGTCCCTCCTCCCTCTTCAGTCCTCCATAATTTTTCCCCATACATTAGCTGGTACATGGTAACTAATATTCATAACACAGTTTTAAGTTCAGAAAGGCCATTAATCACAAGATTATGTGAAGTGTTTTTAAAAGTTGGTTTATAAAGTTTCAGAAACACACTTTAACTAAAAGTAAAGATCTTGTGGTCAATTGTTCACATACAGGGGATTATCCCTGAACACACTTTCACATTTTTTCCCCCAGAATGTCTAAGGGAAAAATTAATGGAAAATTTAGTTCTAGAACAGAGGGCTGGGTGGTCACTTGAGCTCCATTTGAAATGGGGTTGTGGGTGTTTAGGCGTTTAGTCCCACTTAAATATAAAACATGTAATTTCAATATGTTCAAGTATCTTCGTTGAAAATTAAACTGTATACAGCAGGTGTGTCCAAACTTTTTTCATCAAGGGCCACATATCTAAACACAGATGAAGCAGAGGGCTGATCGAGGGTCGTAGACTGGAGCCCAGTACAGTGAATAATTGAAATATGTGCATGTTTAACACGTTAGAATCAGCCACATACACTAAATATGAAATTAGATTTATCAAGGTAGACTTTCAAAAATGTTGCAGCAAAAAGTGAATTTTTAATTGATGCAAGGTAATTTGGGCCAATTCACCTGGAAGTCTGAGGGCCAAGAAAAATTTGCCTGAGAGCTGCATTTGGCCCACAGGCCATAGTTTGGACATGCCTGGCATACAGGGTAAATGCAGAATGCATGAAGAAAAAAAAAATATATATTTTAATGTTTATTATAAAGAGCACAGGGTGTGCAAGATGGTATTAATATAACAAAGCATTTGTATTTCACATGTTCTCTGTGGTAACATTATTAAACATAGGATTTACACTGTTATTTAAAATACTTCAACACATTTACATGAACTCAATGTATCTGGCACTCATTTTTACAGGCCCTGTCATAATAAAATAAAATTGGTGCCTGAAGCAGAGATGGGCCGATTATCTAAATCTGTTATGTTGTTGTGAAGATGTGCTCAACATTCAAATATTCCATAAAAACATGTTGAGAATTTGAGGGTATCATTTCATTATCAAATGTACAGACAGAAATGAATAACTTAGTCATGTTTTGTCACATTTGTGTTAGACAATTTAGTATCCCAATCCTGATGATTTGTCCATTGCCCACACTTACTGACACTCTCTGCTGGCAAGAGAGGGAAATTGAACATTCTATTCACTCAGTGTTTAGTCCAGGCCAAGCAACCAGCTCTGACTGTGGATCATTTAGTCATCTGCAGTGTGCAATAGTTTTGCCCTTGGCGTTTGGTGCACACCTAATCCTGACACAAGGACAACACAATATGCACAAACTCATATTTGACAAACAATATTTTCTTGCACTTCCTAAAGTCAACAGCAGTTCAGAGTGTTCTCTAGGCAGGAGGCTCCAGGTGAGGTGGGGCCCTCAGCTCTGGGTGAGTTTCTGCAGTAGGATGCGGGCTCCCTGGTTGGTGGTGCTGCTGCTCTGCTCCAGCTCAGGGATGAGGGGCTTCAGAGCGGCCCTTACCTCCTCCACCACCGAAGAGTCACAGCTGCTCAGCAGGCTGCAAGTACAATGCCCCATTCAAGTAATTACATTCACACACTTCTGTTTGGCACACAACTCACTCAAACTCTGCACTACTTTGACTACCATGGATGGATTATCCCAGGGCTGCAACGATTATTTTGAACAAATAATCTAGCATAACATATCTAGCTATAATCGATTTTATGTTTAGAATGTGAAAAGCCAGTAAATTTAAGAATTATACTAAATTTGATCTAAATGAAGTCAAAGTGAAGCTGCTTGAGGCCATCATGATTGTGTTTTTACAGACAAGTGCGTTTTCATCATATATTCCACAAGTTAGACAGTTATTGCTCAGTCTTGGTCCTAAAACCTCTTCTCTCATGCATGGCATGTTTTGTAGCCAGTGTTAGACCAGTTAACAATTATTCCATTACTAAATTAGTTGTGATCAATTAATTTGCTGCCCTAGTTACCACTGTAAAAATGTGGACAGGGTAACAATACAGGGTTACTTGCTATGTCTTTTTAAGCAAAAGACAATGTGCAGTAATGGGGGTTTCAGGTAAAACTGCCCCCCACTGCATCCTGACATCACGTTTAAACTGTGCTTTGAATGGCACAGGCAGTGAAACGTGTGCCAGACCAGTAAAGGCAGGAAGCGGCACAGTGTTCATGTGAAAAAGGCCATCACAGACGTGATGTGAGGCAAAAATGTGGCTGCATCAAAAGTCTAGACTAAACTTGTTCATTCACAACTGAAATTATGGGAATGAATGTTGTATTGAGGTGAGCCCACCACCACTGGCGATGGCCATGTATACTGTATTGATTAAGTCAGCAGGTGTAGCAAATGTGATACTGTGCCTGACCCTGGTGTGTGCAGTCTCACCAGCTCAGCACCATGGCTCCACGGTTGACTTGAGCCCATGTCTGCAGTTTGTCTGTCCCCACGGTGTCCACCAGCATCCGGCCGAACCGCTCTAAGCACAGACCACAAGCACACTCACTACCACTGTTCCTTTTCATCTGCTTTAAATTTACCGTAGAGCCGCATACTGAGAGCTAATGTGACCTGTGAACGTCCATGTACCTGGTTTAGTGGCCTCAGCCAGTGTCAGGTCCTGCTCCAGCAGCCACTTGAGCAGCAAGTGTCCAGCTGGGTGTTCTGCCAGGTGCAGCTGTGCCCAAACAACAATACACAATACATATATATCAGTTACTGGTGGGTTTCAGATGATATCACAATATACTATAGGCCAATATTATTTCAAATACAGATGGGGGCAGCTAAAATGAATACTGTTCAACTGCAGATTTTGTTATAATATAGCAGGTCTGGGGTCTAGTCAGTAATAGAAGTTATCAGGTTCCATATTTGGGAATTTACCTTTCTGCTATTCCTTGATAAAGTACAATATAATTAATAGGAAAAACTGGCTCTTGCCCCCTATCTGAGAGTATTACATCACCACAGTCTAGAATCTGAAAACCATCAATACTGTTCTCCCTTCTGAAATATGGATGATAAAGCATATCCAAAATCATCAAAAGTCAATCAATATGTATATACACTTATGTACATGTCCAGATAGGTTTGTAGTCTAAACCAAATCCAGTTTACTAGATACATTTTATCATCTAGTAATTTCCTTTGGATTATAAAGTATACCTAATCTAATCTTTACACAGTTGGTTTCAAAACAGCAGAACACTTTGGGAAAACATCAGAAAAAAATATGTTGGGTATCAGATATGGGCAGGGCAATGTCTTAGGGAAGAAAAAAAAAGTATGCCTTTTAATGGAAATAAAATTTTCAACCTACAGAAGGTTTAATTTTATAGACACCCTGAAATAATGATGTGGCAGGCTAACTCAAAATGGTTTTCAATATTTGTCTTCACCCTACAGGCACTGCCTGCATACTCTTGCCAGCATAGGGTCTGACAGTGGGTTCAAGGATTTCATCCTGATTGCTAATGGCAGTCACATTGGTATTTTCTAGCCAGTAGAGGTCTGTGCATACCTCCATAGATATGCCTCCCCAGACCATCACTGACCCAAACTCTCCAGACTCTTTCACGTCTATCACAGGTGCTCAGGGTGAAACTGCTCTCATCTGTGAAATGCACAGGGCACCAGTGGTGGACTTGCCATGTCTGGTGTCATGTAGCAAATGCCAGTGGAGCTCCACCGTGCTGGTGGTGAACACAGGGCCCACTACAGGACGTGGTGCCCTCAAGCCACCCTCATGAAGTCTGTTTGTGATTGTTTGGGCAGAGATGTTCACACTAGTGGTCTGCTGGAGGTCATTCTGTAGGACATGGGCAGTGCTCAACCTGCTCCTCCTGCACAAAGGAGACGATATGGGTCCTGCTGATGGGTTTGAGGACCTTCTACAGCCCTGTCCAGCTCTCCTAGAGGAACTGCCTGTCTCCTGCAATCGCCTCCATGTTCTGGAGATTGTGCTGGAGACATATTAAATGTCCTTGCAACAGCACGTCCGGATGACAGAATTCTGATCTGCTCATTTTAAAACTACAGTATAAACATGCTAGAACACTGATCACATCAAATGGATATAACCTATTAACAACCTCAGTACCTCATCCCCTAACTCACCTATCCCCATTCTCTTCCCCATGATGCCTAAATACTTTGCCTCACCTTTCCTTTGACTCCGCCTGGCTGCAGCTCCTGGTTGGCGAGCTGTGCCACAGCGCTCATAGCTGGTGTGAGGTCTCCACAAGCGGAGGCCAGGATGTCGCTGACAGTCACACAGCTGGCCTTGTCTGTGGCCATGGCCGCTGCATTCTCACACAGGTGCTGGAGCAGAGCTGGGGATACTGCCTCCAGCAGCTCCCTCCTCCGGATACTCATGTCCTTTTTACTGAAACACACCAATCACCATCAGCCATCAGCCCTGCGCTATGACATCAGTGTGTCACTAAGAGGCCATGTTAGGAGCAGCACATCAATCACGAGGGTTATTGATGTCACTGTGACCAAAAGAAAGACATTGTTTGACATTTTACTCTCTATGTACCCTGAGCGTTCATATGAGGCATGGCAAAGGAAGAAAAATATTTACAACATTTCCATGAATACATTTAACATACAATCTATTAGCAGTATGAATGGAAAGTAAAATGGAATTTGACATGACTAATATGTTTGTGATGCTTAAGGATCTGTTAAGAGAAAGCGCTGCTGGTTTGGCCTGGCCTCACCTGTGCTGGTTGCTGTCCCCTCTCTGCAGTAGCTGGATGGTCTCTGGGAGCAGGTGGGCAGGGTCACGTGGATTTAGCAGATAGGTCATCACCTTCTTACCATATTTGTTCCCCAGGACCTCGCTCAGAGAGGACAGCAGCTCCTATACACAGCACAACCTACTGTCAGCACTGTTAAAGACTTTTCATTATTATGGAGCAAAATTATGGATATGCAAACTCTTGGGTGTAAAGAGACAGTGCTTTCTAAAAAGAAATTGAACAGCTTTATAGAGGTGGAAAATGTGTCAGAAAATTTAACAACAAATAAGATTAATTATTTAAGTCTTTTTAGTCTTTAAAGTGGTATTTGTCAGTCCTGTTCAAGTTCTGGCCAGCATGGTGGATGAAAGATTAAGTTAATTTATTGTAAGCCACAATGTTGATCTAAATGGCTTCGTAATAGAAACATTGACCTTTTTAAAAACCCACATTTAAAATCTAGTAACTCACAGACAGCACAGCTTGTTTGACCAGTTTGGTGTCATCCACACAGTCAAAGATGGCCAGCAGGACAAGGTGAGCGAATTCCCCCTGGAGAAGCACACATACTTTGGATTAGAATAGAGGAGAAGAGGGTATAAGTGAAAAACAACCAGGACCAGGCTCACCGTGGCAAACTTCACCATATATGTCTTCATGGTTTTGATTATGACCTTCCTGTCCTGCAGCAGAACACACAGGAAGGGGATTACTTTTAATGGGGGGGGTAGTTTTTTAGGATATAATGATATATACGATTACAATACGAGATAGTGTTCAAATCAAATATTGATTAATGATGGTACTGTTGATTTATTCACAATTACAAAAACATTTGTATTTTTAAACATGATATTTTTTGTTCTTAAGCAGATTATTATTATCTAATCAGAAAGCAGAATGGGCTCATGTTTGGGTTGCCAGATCCAAAAACTAAAACCCACAAATTGAGACATGTCTTCGGTCACTAATGGTATCTTAGGTTCAATTTCTAAACCAGTAGCAGCACATGTTACAGTCCCTACAACTTTGAGAACAAAGCTTCAGTTTGAATAAAAGACAGCTGAGGCAGTGGGCGGGTTCTCACCTTTGCCGTTCCATGCCACACACAGCTCATGGCGACCCGTGCTCCATCATGAGTGTGAGCCATGTAGACCACAGCCTCCCGGATAGACTCAATCATCTCCTGCACAGACACACCTCAGTCACATACTTCACCAGGAGATACTATTCTCACATGCTGTTGCGCAGTGTTGCACAAGCATATTGAAAAATGCTGTCAATCTACCTGTTGATCTACAGACAATCAGTCACCAAGATATGAACATTAATCACAGACTAAAACAGCAAAATAAAAACATTCAGATTATTTAGAGTGAGTTAATAAGAATAATGTTAATACAAAGTGTAACAGCAACAGTTACACAGTGAGGGGTGAGTTTTTCCAATAGAAGTCAATTGAAACCAGACCTTGAAGTAACCACTTCACATACAGGCTCACTAGCTATTTCAAAAGTGGAGGTTAGTGGGCTAGCTTTCGCCATACAGTCTAAGGGACCGTCATGTACCATCATGTACTGGAGGCCTACTCACCGTTCTCTGCTTCTCAGGAGCAAAATGGAAAAAGTCCAGGAAGACCTTGTGGACCAGTGAGTGTTTGATGACCTGTTCTCTGAAAGGATAGAAAACAGTTAACTTCAAAATGTATTAAATCACTACAAATCTGATATACCATTTCACAATAAGAAAATCAGTCAAATAAATCTAGATTTTTATAGTTAAACATTAAATAGGTCCACAACAGTTTTTTTTTAAGCAAACCCCCAAATTACAGCGGTGTTTTCCCTCCCTTAACAGCTAGAACACAAAGTGGGTGTAGTACTATGTGCAGGGACACGTACTTTTGAGCCATGGGAGTCAGGATCTGCTTCATCTCATCCAAGATGGTGTCCACTTTGTCTGGATTGGCTTCCAGCACTTTGTCGATGGTGTTGCACACTGAAGACTGAAAAAAAGAGACATTTGTTTCTATGCACAAAATGTCTTAATACTGCCCACCCATCCACCCATTCGCTGCTCAGCCATTTCACTCTCTCAATACACTTCATCTGTTGGCTCTGCTCTCACACGTAGACCTAATACCTAAGCTACCAGTACACAGCGCCTGGAAAAGACCTGTTTTAGACATCAGCATCATCATCGCCATCGTCTGTATTATTATTTTAAGTGGAGATCTTCTACCTGTGGTGGCCAGTGCCCTGTACTTCGCTGTCGCCTGGTGGGGGGATGGCACCAGTAAAGAGACACTGGGCAGTTTGACCAGCTCGCAGCTGATCACGTGACCAGTTTTAGAGATGAGTTTGAGACTTTTGTCACAGTGAGGGACAGGAGGAAACTGGACAAAATGCTCTCCCTCATTGACACTCCTGCTCACCCACTGCACCAGATTAGAGGAACCGAGGAGCTCATTCTACCAACAGGCCTCTACAGCTCTGCTCAAACAGTGAGAGATACAGGACTAAATTCATACCATGCTCCATACAACTGCACAACAACTCACCCTTATGGAACAGATAATACTTCCTATGAGATATTTTTATTTCTTATTTTATTTCTTTTTACTACATATACATTTATATAATTAGGCCTTATTTGACACCTGTCTCTTGCTATCTTTTTCTATTCTCTTCTTTTTGAAATGCGGCTCACCCTGCAGACAGTGAAGGTGTTCCCATACAGCTCCTCTGTTAGCATTAGCCTCTGGGACAGCACGGCCTTGTCATTGTAGGCATACTCTATGATGGAGGACGCGGCTGCATGTCGGAGCATGGCCTTCACATGACCTTTGAACGTCTGCATCACCGAAGCCACCGTTTCCTTGTTCCTGTAAAATATCACACAAGAGAGCTGGGAGTCAGCGGAGCCGGAGCGGGAAGAGCCGGCAGGGAGTGGGAGAGGAGGACCCTTCAGACACTTACCCATACATGAGCAGCTTCTTCACGACGTGCCGACCGTACTGAGACTTGCACAGAGCCGCCATGTCATCTGTGGACAAGTTAAACATAAGTCAGGTGCATATAGTCAGACCAGAGTCCTGCAAAGGGTCAGGTACCCACAGGTATGGGCAACTAGTTGCTGAAACATGCGGGTTTTAACGTTCTGGAATTTTATGGGCAGGTATGCGAGCGGGTAGTGATTACACAGGGGCGGACCAGAACTAAACCAGCACTAAACCAGGATGACACCAGGACTAATTTTGGACTTAATAGAGAGAACATTTTAATATAGCACTTTTACAACAAGGAACCACTCACCCAGTGTCTTGCCCAAGGACACAATGACTGCATTCATCTGTGGGATCAGTGGATTATGTGCCTCACAGATCTCTGATCAGCTGACTCTGACCTCTTCACTACCAGTTAAATCAAAGCCCCTTGGAGGACCAAACATTTGCCATTGCTGCCCCAACCCTTTGGAACTCTCTCCCCCTCCACATCAGAAAATTATTATTTATATATATTATTATTATTAGATGTAAATGTTTACAAAGGTTTTGGCTTTTGCCACTTTTAAGTGGTGCAGGTTGTCAGGCAGCAGATGAGGGGCAAATCCCCAAACATGTATCTTCTTGAAGTATCATCCCTTTCCGTCTTCAGAGCTACATTCTGATGTAGCAGGACGACTTTCAGATAGTGGAAATAGACTACGCTATATAGTGACATCCTCAACACAACAACAACAAAGTCATGTGACTGAAACCCTTGAATGTGGAGTGATTGCTATTATTTCATGTATCAAGCAAATGCCATCATCATAAAAGGGAGCAGGTGAATTGTAGTCCTGACCTTTGAGCTCGTTAAACACTTCGTGGCGCTGCTCATGGGTCCCAAACTGAATGAAGCACTGCAGGACGCGTACTGAGTCATGAGCGAAAGCCATCTGTCACAAACACATATATCACACTCATGTTTTTCCATTTAAAACCCCTCCCATTATATTGAGTACATGTGGCCTCACCGACCTGTTTGGATTTGCCCCGGATCAGATCATGGAGATCCTTCATCAGTTTCGTTTTCATCTGCCCATCACACTTTTTCCTGTCCACACACAAAAGCATGTTATCCATTAGGGAGAGGTCTGTTTTAGAAAAAGGGGAATTTACATAACACGGGTTAAAACTCCATGAGCCATTTCTGACAGTACCAGTAATAAATATTTAAAAGTTAGCATCACTGAGGTAAAACCATGCTTTGTGCTGTCCAACCTCCCAAACATTCTGCAATATCACTCACATACTGTAAAAGTAGAATAAGTATGAGTAAAAGATTCTGTCCTGTTCTGTACCAAATTTTTCCATGTAATAAAGCAGGTAGTAGTAGTCTTGCCCTAGTACAGATATAAAAACAGCTCTCCAGGACATAATTCTGGTGCACTGTAAGCATGCTAGATGTTTGTATCTTTAGTGTGATGGAAAAACAATGCTCTGGCCTCTGAAAGTTAAGAAAAACAATTATAAAGAAATGTTTGGACCATTGTGAACTGTTTAAAATGAACTAGTTTAGATTTTTTTTTTTTTAAATCCTTTATTATGGAGGAAAAACTTTTTCCCCATTTAAAAAGTGAGATAGTGCAATAACAAAAACATAAAATGGCAGATTAATTGATTAGCAATGTGATTAGTAGTTGCTCTAGTGTGTAGTGTGAGTGGTGTGTACCTGCGCAGCTGGCCCCAGATTTGTTTGCTCTGACAGATGATGTCAAACATGTCCTTCCTTTCAGCCTGTTGTCTGTTCTTCTTCACGTCCCTCTTCCTCTGTTGCCGTGTGGCCTTCAGCTCCTCTTTGGACAGCTTCTTTTTGGGGTCAGGCTTTCCACTCTTCAATTTTTTAGACACAGGACCTAACACACACACACATACAGTATGTAAATTCGCTTCACTGCTCTAACAGTTCTCACAAGAACACTGCATATATTGAGAAGCATAATGTCGTAGGTAAACATGTTAAAGTGGACCTATTCTGCAAAATCCACTTTTTAGAGCTTTTAAACCATGTTATGGTTGTTTGTTTCCCTTCTCATTGACCCTCTGGAGTTGTATTTAGCATGAATCATGCATATTTGCGTAATGTTTATTTATTCTCCTGTATTCAAGATGTAATTTCTTTGACCAACCTCCTTTTTCACAGCCACCAGTATACGGCCACTGCTCTGTACTTCATTCTCCAATTTTATTTTGTATGTCATTTCTTATTGGGCAAGTCAGCGGACTTGATTCTTTTATCAAGTTTCTTTTTTTTGGATGAATATTGATTGCAATTTAAATGTCCAAATTATACCATGATCCAGGGGTGTCATAGACTACTACAACTATCTAATCACAACCCCACTTACCTATTAAAAAATTATCTCTATATTGATGAAAAAGTTATGAACCTAATTTAGAGCATACCAGTATTAGTTTATTTACTTGTCCAATCTCTGAGGATGTCAAAATCAAAGTCAAAATGAGCACTTCACTGTTGAAGAAAAGTAGGTTTATGAAAAGTGATGAGAAGTCATTTTAAAGATGGTGATCCGTTTAAGCATGACTGCATTACAACTCCACAAACTCTGCTTCAGCTGAGGACATGTTGAAATGATTAAAACTCAGGAGGAGTTGTTGTGCTCCTTACCTCCTTCACCTCCTTCACTGTCCTTCCCATGCGGCCTCTTTCTCTTCCTCACTCGTTGGTCATTTTTGAAGAACTTGTGTGCAACCCGTTTCTCTCCTCTTTTCCCACTGTGCTCTGTGTTCTTATAAGGTTTCTTAAAAGGCTTCTTAGAACCAGACTTTCCTCCCATTTTAGTGCTGGTGGAATCTAATAAAATAGAATAGAAATACAAAAAAACCCACATACTAATCAATACTAAAACTAGCATTGAAAATAGGTACCAGTATCAATACTAAAAATATCACATTCACAGGACAGAAATTAACATGTCCTGAAAACATTTAGAATGATCTTGACCTGTATCAGAACAAGTCTGAGACCGCGTGGATTAGTACTCGCCCATGGACCACTATGGAGCCTATCTGGACCACTGAGGGATTACACAGAAATATGGCCATGTGGGAATAGAAAAGAATGAACTTCGATTTAATGTTGCAAATCACATTCTATTGTCTAAAGGATGAGTGTTCATTTATTATCATGGGGTTCATTTTGAGTATTGAATCTATTCCTTAATGTCTAAATAGAAATTTGAAATGTTAGTATCGTGACAACACAAGTTTCATCATATTGACAAAATCAAGTATCTCACCTTTTCCTTTTAGAGCTGTGGCTTTAACAACCTTGGCCTTGGGAGAAAATGTCTTTTTGGGTTTGGCTTCCATTCTACAGAGAAAAATATATCAGTATCATCTTATTATCAAACAATCCAACTGTTACCTGAAGAAATCTAAATATTCAGTATAGGCTACAGAATAAACAAACAAGAACTAGGTGACAGTATGATGAGACAATATGGGTAAAAGTAGCCTTTACTACAGCAAAGAGAGTGATCCTTATGTACGGGAAGACACCTGAGATTCCTACGCATATATACAATTGAAAAAAAAAATATTCGTAAATGATTGAAGTTATCCTGGTTACGATTAGGCTTCTCGTCCTTTTACCTGGACCAAATCCATAAACTCAAACTGCGTATTGTGTATTTCACAGCTTTTACAATAAATGCTTACTTTTCGTCGAATTTCGGGCTACTGCCTGATTTCTGCGAGTTCTGTGGTCTGTTTTATACAGTTAGTTTCCTCACACGCTGCTGCTAAGAACCTTCCACATGTGTTGTGGACGAAACCCATTTACGTGTCGCAAAACAGTACTGGTCACGACAGTTCTTTTCCAACTACGACCGTGTGTCTGGATCGCTATTGGGCCACTGTTATTACTGTTTTCCCGCTACACTGATAGAGACACACGCTTTACACGCGCGTTTAACGTGTACCCGTTTTTTAATATATGACACCACTGTCAATATCATTACTTTAACTCTCTTTGCCAGACAAACAGATTAGCCATTTCTTCACAAATGTGACAGAACTACATTACCCAGCAGGCTTTGCGACAAGAGAGACCTGTCGCATAGCAACGCATCGAATCTCCAAACTTACAGGTGCAGTTTATAGCAAACGTTTCAGTCTGGTCAAAATGCCTTTACTGTACTTGTACTAATTAAGATAGTTTGTTAGGAGGCTGCAGGCCGGGTCATTTTGGTTAAAGAGTACCTCTGCTGAGCGGATAGAAGATTGAAACATGGACGAAACTCACACGGAGGATGAACCAGCCCCGGGTAAGATCACTGGAATCTACTGCGGTCAAGTAACACAGGTGGGCAGAGTGCAAAAAATATACGTTAAAAGGTTAGTAAATATTAACAAAGTATTTTGTTAGGACTTTTTGGTAAAATAAGTTTGGTTAAATACAAACAAATACTCATGCTCATTTTAGTAGTCAAACTAAAACTTAGCAAAGAACCAAGACCAACCCAAGTCTCTGAAATTATCCAAATTATTCTAGTGAAAGCGTGTGGAGGTTAAAAAAACAGTGGAGCACTTCCTGTTTTACCACATGACATCACACAGTGGAACAGTGCTTTCACATTGAGAGAATGCAGCCTAAATAGGCAGGGTTTATATGTTATCACCTCTGTGAATGAACATACCTACTCTACAGAAAGGGACAGTGTTGAAGATAGCTAGGGGGAGGACTGTAGACTGTGTACTGGGACACTTCATCCATACAATACTCCGGTCAGAGAGTAGAAACGGACACTAGAACGTATTTTGGAGCTTTTAATGTGCTGTCTTCTATTTATTAAGCTGGTATCTCTGTCACAAACACAGACACAAACAGGACAAACTAAGGCACCAGCAGTTAGGCCAGAAGCATCACGGTAACACTGTTACTATGATGCTAAGGACCCCTGAGCTGCCTGCAATTGCCTGATCAAATAAGCAGTTCCCTTAAGGAATTTACAATAGCTGCCCCATAATAGTACAGCTATTATGTAAAACTAGCTAAATTCCCTAAGGTGCAACTATTGTCCATGTAGAGGAGTTATCACATCATCAGGAATGGCAGACAGTTGCACTAGGCGTGCTACTGGTTGCAGGAAAGTCTTTTGGACACAGCTGTTATTGCTCTGGATCACCTTTATGGTGGTCTGCTGGGCTCTCGGAAGCTGGGGGTCGATGATTGTGATGACCGTGTTGGTCATCAGGTGGATAGCTTTGACCAATTTCTCCTGAGAGTTGTGCAGTGAGAAGCCTGCCACGAAGCTGGTGGTCCTGTTTCAGTGGGGCTTTGCTCTGTCTAAGCTCTAAAGTCTCTTTGGTATCTGCAGAATAGCCTTCTTTGTGTAGGCTGCAGAGCGAAGGCAGATTGTCGACATGCTGGGTTGGGAGTGCCTGCTCTGTGTTGCGGACAGAGGGCAGGACCACTTAAGGGGTAGTGTTGTTGTGTGGCACTGTATTGTCAGAATGATGTAAAGGATTGTCCCCCTCCTGAATTCCCTCAGCTGTGGCCTCATCAGTGTTCCTAATGTCTTGTTCCAGATGTTCGACCTGCTGGACAAGGTCATCTAGTACTGATGAGTCAAAGATGATTTGACTCCTGCCATCACAAATCAGCTTTTCTTGCTCAGGCACAGGAACCGGAAGATCGGGAGAAGGAAAGCGAGATGGAGACTGCTGCTGTGCAGACTGGTGCTGCTGGATATCATGTCCCTGTGAAGATGGGTTAGGTGTAGAAGTCACCAACTGGTACTTGGGCTGCAGGGAAGTGGGTGGCTCAGGTTGTGGAGCAAGTTGTGGAGGCTGACTTGGCTCAGTGATCTGTTGCTGGTACACTGGCAGTGCAGTTGGAGCTTGTGGAGGTCGGTGCAGAGGCTGTAAGGACAGAGCAGGACGAGTGTACAGCAACTGGTGGTGATGCTGTGGTTGACTGTAGATTTTGGAATGGTGTGAGTGGAGCTTGGGGCTGATATACTGGTGCTGTTACAACTGGCATAGGTCGTTGCACTGGAAAAGCTGGGCCAACTGATGTGGCCTGGTACTGGACTGGCATAGACGCTGTGGTGCCACCATGCTCCATGCTCACTGTGGCAGGAACAAGTTGTATCACCCCATAGGTAGGCTGGTAGAAGGCTGTCGTCGAGATGTGTGGCATAATCACATTTGTTACTGCAAAGGCTTGGTTTGGTTGTACATGACAAAGAAGGTGCTGTAGCTGGCAGCATAGTAGGCAGCTGCTCATGTATTAGACGGTTAACTGGCTGAACCATATAGGCAGCATGGTATAACTGGTTTTGGATGCTGTATCCACTTGGGCCAGGTGATGAGGATCCTCCACACACCACTGGAAAGCTGTGATGAGTGCTTAATTGGGGTGCTGTGTTCCACTCTTTGACTTTATCGACTGCAGCTGAGGATGGAAAGCGAGAGAACCCGAGCGCTGTATGTAGCTGGCTATCATTTGTTGCAGACTCAGTCTGTACGTAAAGTGACTGCAACTGGGGAATGCTGGCTCTTATGCTCTCATCCTGATGAGTGGCAGTATAAGGCAGGAAGGAATAAGGAAGCCTGACCTGGTTGATCTGGAGGGGCATAGGAAGCAGTTGTGACCATCTTGTTGCTCCTCTGTCTGTTGCTCTTCTGGTGTCCATTTTAATACTTGGGTGAAGACTGGCTGTAGACTGTGTACTGGGACACTTCATCCATACAATACTCCGGTCAAAGAGTAGAAATGGACACTAGAACATATTTTGGAGCTTTTAATGTCCTGTCTTCTATTTATTAAGCTGGTATCTCTGTCACAGACACAGACAAAATAGGACAAACTACGGCAGCAGCAGTTAGGCCAGAAGCACCACGGTAACACTGTTACTATGATGCTAAGGACCCCTGAGCTGCCTGCAAGTGTCTGATCAAATAAACAGTTCCTTTAAGGAATTTACAACAGACAGATCAGGCTGTACTTTTTCAGAAGGCTGAAGTCCTTTAGATATATTTATTTTCTTGCCATACCGATTACGTCAGCCTACACTGAAATATCAATATGTTTGCGATATATTGCTTCATCCACAGTAAATTGTCTACCTTGCTGTTTTAGAAGAGCAGCAAACCCAGCAGGTTGTTGAGGTGGAGGAGGCTGCAGGGAAGCAGCTCCCGGTGGACATGTTCTATGACTATGTCGAGCTGGAGTCCAAGGCTTCCATCAGCCCAGAGTCTGGAATCCCTATCAACCTGCTGCACCTGTCGTATCCTTCAGAATTTTCACACAACATCCTTTCTTCCTCTCAGCTCCTCCTCCTCTCTCCTTCTCCTCTCCTGCTCTGCTCCTCCTCCTCTTTCCTCTATCTCTTCTCCTCCTCCTCACCTCCTCCTCTGATTCTCATCTCTTCTCCTCCTCAGGTCCTCCTCCTCTCTCCTCCTCCTCCTCCTCCTCCTCCTCTGTTTCCCCTTCTTGTTGCACAGTTCTATATTGACATACATCATGTATCTGGGTCCTTGACATAGTGTGCAGTCACTCATTTGGCTATGACTGTAAGCGCAGATGTAACCTGCAGCTGTTGGACGAGCAGACATTGGTGTATGTGGCAGGGAACATCCTGGTTCTGCAAGACCTGATCTCCAGGCAGCAAAGGTACCTGCGCTCCAGCGGGGGAGGAGGCATTGGAGCCATCACTGTAAGGACAACACTTCCAACACTTGGTTCTTATCAATGTAAAACAAAATGAAAAGGCGCAGCCCTAATAGGGTTGTCAAATTATCAAAACTCAGATGCTAATCAATACTCAAAGTAATAACTAGATATAGTAGATTGAATCTAGATGAGCAGGTATTGATACTAAAAAAGTCACATTCACAGGACAGAAATCTTTCCTGAATAGCTTTAGAATGATCACAAGTTGTATCAGAACAAGAGCACATAGGCTAATATACACCTATTATGGACCATTATGGATCCTACTTGAACCACTGAGGGATTAAACAGATATAAGACCATTTAATGTTTAAAATCACATTATTATTATTATACAGTAGTCATCCTCAAAACTAATTTAATTGGTTGTCAAAATTATGACTTCTTGAAAAATTATGACTCCATGACTTGACTGGAGGAGGAGCTCTGTGCTGGCCTCAGTGATGTGTGACTATATGGTCAAAGGTCAATGTCATTTATATTCTAGAGCCCAAGATCACAACTACAGTTGTTTCATAGGACTTCAAAAAATAGTTCTTTTACCCAATAGAAAGTTAGAAAATGTAATGAATCAAACGATGAACCAACATTCACAGGTCCTCACAATGTCCTCATTTCATTTCATTTCATTTTATTAGACTGAGCCAGGACTGAAATAGGACTGAAGCAGGTCAAGCTGGAGATGTGTTCTGGAGTGACAGACAATTCATGCCAGGTTTATAATATTCTTTCTCCTTTACATCTTTGTTTTAGACTCATCCAAACAAGCAGTACTTTGCTGTGGGAGAAAAAGGAAACCACCCAGATATTATCATTTACGAATACCCTTCCTTAAGGCCTTATCGCATCCTGAGAGGTAAGCTTACTGTGAACACATTATTATTGAACATTCAAATTTTGCTTGGGTGGACCAAACTCAGTGTTAAATAAAAATGAACTCTTTAAGGAGGAGGTATTACACATAACACACAACACAGGTCCCTCCATCAGTGTGCATATACACTAATTAAACTATTGCACATTGCATCAGGTTTGTGAAGGTGTAGTGTATTGTTTTGTATCATGCTTTTGTATATTTATGAAAAATTGTTGTATGAGATCATGAGTTATGTAGGCTTGTGGGCCAAGTCTTGGATAGAATCATACTGCTATCTATAAGGAGGGTTCCAAGGAGAGCCCAGTAGAGACTCAAACATGCATAGATGACATCTAAAACTCTTCAGGAATGTTTTTGATGAGGGAACAATGTTATAACATTGTAGAAAGCTCCAAAAAGTCAATTTTTGCATAATACCCCTTCTTTAATGAGCCATGTAATTTTATTTGGCCAAATAACTGTTAATTCATTTTACTAGTAGATGTTGAATCAAAAGAATGTGTGTGATTGTGCATGATTGTTACACTTTGCACCAAATGTGTCCATGTGCTGTGCAGGCGGGACTGAACAGGCCTACTGTCACCTGGACTGGAGTGCAGATGGAGAGCTGCTGGCCAGTGTGGGCGCGTCCCCGGACTACATGTTGACCCTGTGGGACTGGAGGCAGGAGGACGTGATGCTGAGCTGTAAGGCTGTGTCCCAGGACGTGTACAGGGTCAGCTTCTCCCCTCACAACCCAGGACAGCTCACCTCCTGCGGCTCGGGACACATCAAGTCAGTCCTCCTCATCTCCATCCACCACCACACGCTTTGACATTACACACTAACTTTGTACCAGCACCAATATGATCAGAAGGCATTTGGGTCATTCCATGACATTTCAACAAATGGCCCACGCACTTCGGTCTCAAAAAATTTTGAAAAAATGACCAAATAGTCCTTTACTATCATGTACCAACCCTGTGAAGTTGTAGTGATTTTCGATCAATACTTTTTAAGTTACAGCTCATTTAGTGAGGGGAGTATGTGTCAATTTACGGGCCCAAAATTCACGTAATTTTTTCTCGGCCCTTTTCACAGGTCGATATCTCTGTATGTATCACACATAGAGGGCTGAAATTTTGTAGGCTTGTACTCCTCTACTCTGTGTTCAAATAACATCTATTGAAAGTTTGGTATCTCAACTCATTGTCATTTTATATTAACTTAAAAAAATAAAAATAAAAAATAGTTCATTTCCGTGGCGTACCATTTTTTAGCACCTTTTTAAACCCATTTGTAGGTGTCAGAGACCTGTGAATTTTTTTGAGAATCAAGATATGTACTAGGACTGTTAAAAAAAACTTACCAAATGTTGAAAATTTTAAATGGGTTATGTGTAAGGGTCCTGTTAAAAACAAGAAAACGCAACATGGTCTGATTTTCACATGTAATTTATGGCATGTGGGTCGTGATGAAAAAATAAACTGGAATAATTTTTTCTTGAAAGACCATATGATCTTTCATATGGCACCAAACATATGTATTTTATGAAGCTCCTTCAATTTTTAATTGTATCTTGAACATTCACATTTGAGGTTTCAGTCATAGTGCAAGACACAATGACATGAGTATACAGTGATCATGTACTATGTTTTATTCCAGCAGCTAACGTCACTAAACATTTAAAGACTGAATCAAATGGTTTGATAATAATTTTAATGTGACAAGGTATCTCTGACAAGTTATCTGACATCCAAGAAAACAGCTGGAGATTATTCTCATATTAAAGAAACAAACATGTTCAACAATATGACATTGTCTTCTGTTAGTTGTGGATGGCAGATTGATATTCAAGACTATGCAAACGTTACAATAGATTTTGGTGCGCAAACATCTGGAAGCAGCCAAGTGAGGACACAGTTCCCTATCATGTTCAGATCACCTGAGCAGGTAAAGAAAGTCTTATGGAGCCTTAAATGGAAAGTGTTAAGGTTGTCCATTTAAGGGAAACTGCAGGATTTGTGGGAATTTATCACATATAACAAATTATATTCATCTTTATTCCGGGGTGAACCTATATAGTTCCAAATGCACATTTGTTTTGAAGGTGTTGTTTGAGCCAGTACATGTTTGGATCACCATTGGAACAAGAGAATACTCCCAATAAATTAATGTAGTGCACAGATGACAAAGCTCCTGATTGAAGTTACAAAGTCACACCCCAGTCAACATGGTCAACTGAACCATCTAAAACCAGTCCACCAGGGATGAAAAAGCCTCCACAGTTTGAGGAGAATTCTGGTGGTCAAGCTTGTGGGGACTGTCCATGCGGCCGTGACCGCCAGAAAATCCAAAAGCTTCGGGACCGACTGCGTGTTTATTTAGATGTGCCTACCGATACTGATGACGAATAAGACATACATGTTCTGTGTTCTGGGTTTTTAGATAAGTTGTAACACATCCTGTTGATTCATTCTTGTTCATTCTTCATGTTTTGGAGCTTTAGCTGCTGGAATAAAACATAGTACATGGTCACTGTAGACTTGTGTCATTGTGTCAAATGTGAATGTTCAAGATACAATTAAAAGTTGAAGGAGCTTCATAAAATACATGTTTGGTGCCATATGAAAGGTCTTTTTCTGGTCTTTCAAGAAAAAAATTATTCCAATTTTTTTTCATCACGACCCACATGCCATAAATTACTTGTGAAATTTGGACCATGTTGCTTTTTCTTGTTTTTAACAGGACCCTCACACATAACCTATTTCAAATTTTCAACATTTGGTGATTTTTTTTAACAGTCCTAGTACAAATCTTGATTTTCAAAAAAATTCACGGGTCTCTGACACCTACAAATGGGTTTAAAAAGGTGCAAAAAATGGTACGCCACGGAAATGAACAAGTTTTTTTTTTTTTTTTTTTTTAAGTTCATATAAAATGGCAATGAGTTGAGATACCAAACTTTCAATAGATGTTATTTGAACACAGAGTAGAGGAGTACAAGCCTACAAAATTTCAGCCCTGTATGTGTGATACTTATGGACATATCGACCTGTGAAAAGGGCCGAGAAAAAATGACGTGCATTTTGGGCCCATAAATTGACACATACTCCCTTCACTGAATGAGCTGTAACTTAAAAAGTATTGATCGAAAATGACAAAAATTTCACAGGGTTGGTACATGATAGTAGGGGACCAGCTGGTAATTTTTTCAAATTTTTTTAAAAAACATGATGCGTGACATTTTAATAGCCAAAAACAACATATTAAAAATTTTGATTAGTTCCATTTTGTTTTTGATGCTTTTTCTGTTTCTCTGCCGCTCAATATTTTACGAGGGGAGGGCTGAGCAGGGAGGGGTCAAAAGGAGGGTTCAAATAGGGCTCGGGAGAGATGACTAATTTATGCACACATGCATGGGTGACTTTATAAGACCTCATCAGACATATTTTTGATGAGGGAACAACATGATAACATAAGCTACATACAGTTGAGGTGATTTTAATGCCCCCTTAATAAAATACTACTTAAAGAGGGGGTTTTATGCTATCACCAGTGTATGTTTCCCTCCTCTTGGTTATGTTGATAACGATCAGACAGATTCTGATGTCACTGCTGTTGACACAGTTGATTATCACAGTTAATTATCAGTGATGTCTTTTATGTTTCTAGCTAAATTCTGAATGTTTACAGATATTTTTCAAACTAAAGCTGGTTCCATTGTCTGATGCTTTTCATCCATATAGCCAAGCATCTTTCCGGACAGTACCATTTCTGTGAGCACTGGATAGACATGTTTGGCTTGTCCTAACGAATGCAGTGTAGTGTATAAAGCATAATGCAGAGATAAATTCTGAAAAATACAGTTTTATAAGTTGTTAGAATAGATCAAAATCAAGGTGCCATCTGAGTACCTGTTCCTGTGTCTATCTCAGGTTCTGGAAGATGGCCAGCTCATTCACGGGCCTCAAACTCCAAGGCCTCATGGGACATTTTGGAAAGACCACAGCCACTGATATTGAGAGCTACGTGGTTCTACCAGATGGGAAGGTACCGCTGTCTATGACGTTTAGCTACCTTTCATAAGTTTATACAAAAATGAACATGAATCATTTTACACAATAGATATATGTGCATGGCATTCTCTTTAGAAGTAGATGATTTATTTATGGCTTTTGATTTACCTACAAAGTGCCCTTTTAACATATATGTACAGTGTTGGGGAGTAACAGATTACATGTACTGGAGTTACGTAATCAGAGTACAAATTATGAGTAACTGTATTCAGTTACAGTTACTGTTTCAGTGAGTGGTAATTGGATTACAGTTACTTTGTTGAAATAAATGGATTACATGGTGGTAATTTCCTGTTTTCACATTATTTTAATTTAATTTTATTTATTTATTTATTTAATTTTTTTGGTAATTCCACTCATTGCTGGAAACTAAACCAGGTGTAAACCAGGACTAAATCAGGACTAAAACCAGGTCTAAACTAGAGCTAAACCAGGTCTAAACTGGATCTAAACCAGGAATAAAACCAGGTCTAAACTAGATTGAAACCAGGACTAAAACCAGGCCTAAACTAGAGCTAAACCAGGACTAAATCAGGACTAAAACAGGATTTAACAGGACTAAATCAATCTGTAGGAGAATACATTTTAAAAGTAACCTTCCCAACACTGTATATGTATATGTATTTATGTCCATATGAACTGGTTACTCAATTATAATAATCACAATTCTATAGCTACCAGCTCAAAACACATAAAACCAAAAGTGCCACAAACTGTCTTCTCTATTTGCAAAAATTATATTTGAGATAGCTTAAAAAAGTAGTGGAGTTATTTGAACACAAACTGTTGTCAATTGAAAGTGGCTTTAAGAATTATATGGCAGATCAATGAAGCCAGTCTCTAAGAAATAATACACATATGTTTATGATGTTTGTAGACTGAATGTTTTGGAAATATCAATGGTTCATGTGTGCTCCTTCTGCAGGTGGTGTCGGGTTCAGATTGGGGGAACCTACTGCTGTGGAATGGTAACTCCATAAAGGTGGAGATCTGCCGTAAAGAGGGTCGCACCTGCCACACTGGGACCTCCCTGCCCTTTGCCATGGAGGAGGGCCAGCTGTTGACCATAGGAGCTGATGGAGCAGTGCGGGTAACTGTGTCTGTGCTGTGTGTGTGGAAGTGGGACTGCTGTGAGCCCAGTGTATTGTCATCCAGGTAATTCTTCTTATACAGCATGTGCCTTAGTAGCACTAAAGCCTGCTCTCCCTTTGTGATTGGGCAGTCTACTCTACCAGCAGTAACGCTATCTGGTGTGGCTTCGATGATAGAGAGCTCTTATTCTTCTGTTCAGTCACAATACTTCTTCATGGTTGAGCTTTGTGAGAACTTTAACTCATATAAAATATAATAGTTTGAATTGAATCTAAGTTTTCTGATCCAGCCCCTTTGGGGTCAAAGTGGGTTGAATAAGGCCCCCCGACCAAAATGAGTTTGGCACCGCTGATTTATAGATTACTGGAGCAGGGAAGGCATTTAATAATAATCCATCAGTTTTATATAGCACTTTTTTGGACATTCAAAGACGCTTTACAGAGAATTATTCATTCACTCCATACCCAGTGGTGATAAGCTACTATTGTAGCCACAGCTGCCCTGGGGCAGACTGACAGAAGGGAGGCTGCCAATCTGCACCACTGGCCTCTCCATCTACCACCAACACCACTTTCATACTAGGCAATGAGGGTGAAGTGCCTTGCCTTAGGACACAACAACAGTTTTTACGACTGGCGCCCCCCTGTGGCACCTGATTTTCCCAGTGGTCTCCCATCCAAGTACTAAGCAGGCCCGGCCCAGCTTAGCTTCTGAGACCCCCTTGAAAATGAGATGGTGACACATCTCAAGGGCTTATCCTCCAAACAAATAAATTCAAATTAAATTCAAATCTGAGGGGATCAGGCTTTGAAAAGCCGGTATGGCCACACATATCACCCACCATGTTCAATGTGGTGGGAGTGATTGTGGTCTGGCTCTGGCTTTAAGTTTATATGGGATCAGGCTTGGTAAGACTCAGGAAAAATATTTGTTTAGACCAGTTTAGTCCAGATTTCATTCCATGATACTGGGAAAGCCAAGTATATTGATTGTGTCACTGTAATGTGTGCTGTGCTCAGGGCTGGTACCTTGAGACCATTGACGATGCAGACAGCCAGGACGAAGGCAGCCGCTTTGAGCTGGAGCCCATGAACGAGCTGGTGTTGGGCCACAATGTCAGTCTGAGCTCTATGGTTCGCAGTGGACATCACGATTCCTTCATCTGGTACGCCCAGGTCTGTCCACCAGCACACACTCACTGAGCCCTCTGCTGCCTTTTACACACATTAGCATCACATTCAAGATATCTGCACAAACAATAAAAATGTAAAAAGAGTTGGTGAAACCATGTAACATAAAACTCCTGCACAAAAACAGGAACTCATGTCAGTAAACTAAACATAACCGAATGTGGAGCATGTTACAAAGAATTCATTGTGTGTTTAAACTTTGTTCACTGGGTTTAAACTCACCAGAATCCATCTGCTGCTGCATTCAGACTCAGGCCACCAGTACCAGTGGGTAGGAGAAATTGACAAATCACAGACCAACATTGTGGTTTGGGTCAAAGCCAAATGTGAAGCACCAAAAATGAACCAAAACTAACATTGCGATGCTGACTGATATGAATGTGCCTATTTGAGCAGAACTACACAGAAGCACTTTACTGCTCAGGCATATATGGGAATAAATTCAGAGCTTTTCTCTCAACTAGGTTCATCAAAAATTTGAATGCTTGCTCTGCTGTTTCGTACACTTATATAAAAACCAATGAGGTTATTGTTGTGTGCGCAGGATGCCATGGGAGCCATCTGGAAACTGGATCTGTCCTTCACCCACACGGTATCTGCATCCTCTCCTCTCTCCTTTCTATTTAAATTCAAACCCAGGTCTGAGAAACTACAGCACAGTACAATAGCATTTTGATCATTGCATTAGGCCTGCCAGACAGTATAACTCAGTCAAATGTCATTGGTTCTTAGAATCTGAGTCTTTAAATATGTTGGTTGGAGTCTTAAGCTTCAGATGTGTGGCTGTGTGCAGACCCCAGACCCAGAGTGCCTGTTCCAATTCCACTGTGGAGCCATTCAGGGCATGGACGTGTCCCGGAGTAGCCACCTGATGGCCACCACCGCGCTGGGACGTGAGTCTGTCTTTGAATAAATGTATGAATAATACACTTAGAGGCTAAAACAGTTCACTACTACAATACAAATGTTGAGCTACTTCTAAAGTAAATATTTGGATGGCTATAAATGTCATAAAGATCTCTATAGCTCAGCTTGAATTTAAATCTAGGGCAAAGCAGTGATTTGAATTTCTGGACAGAGGCTTATGTTCAGGGGAGGTAGAGTTCCACATTTTAGGAGCACCCACTGTAAAAGCTCTGTTTAGTCTGCTTAGTCCAGACAGTCAAAGAGGTTTGGCCAAAGCCAGTACTCTCTCTGCACACATGCTGTATATGTGCCCATGAAAAAGACTCTAGATAGCGTAGAAAGCTAAGTGGAAGAAAATGGATGGATGGACTTGAAACTCTACAGGCCAGTGGAGAGAGAGAACAGCTCATAAGCCTGATGCTTATGGATATACCATGTGGTAGATGGACATATACATGCTCCTGTCCCCATCTGAGTGAAGGACGATGAACACATCATTATAGTGATGAAGCTCCCTGGGGTGCTAGGTTCTGACAGAGCCAGTTTGCTCTACAGGTTCAGTCCGAGTTTTTGACTTCCTGTCCAAGAAGGAGCTGACGACCAATCGCTTTAACCAGGGAGGGACAGCTCTGTGCTGGGCCCCACCACAGGTCAGTCCCCTCTACTCACCCACCCTCACCCAGCCTGCTTTGACTGACACATTTATTGCTATGGTAACCCTAGTGCATGGGAACCAAGTGATATCGTGATTGGATATAGTCTTAGGCTACGTTCAGACTGCAGAGCTTAATGCTTAGTTTGGATTTTTTTTGTGAAATCCAATGTTTTTGCGAGGTCGTTCACATTTCCAATTAAATGCGACTTGTAATCTCCAGTGTGAACATTAAACGGCCCAAAAGTGTCCCGCATAAGCACTAGAGGACATGACAACGTCAACCGTAGTGAGCGTGCTCTGTGTTTACAGAAGTTGTCCAAACATGGACACAGCATTGAACACTTTAAGTTCCTTTCGTACCGGAGCCAGAACATGAACAACTTACTTGTTGTAAGGAGGAGACTGAGAAGGAAAAGAACGAGGTTTTTGGCCATGGTGTTTTGTGGGGCAGTCACAGCAAGAGTGGTGGGATAGCGAAGTGCTTCGCTTCAGTGACACAGAGTTCATTAACAATTTTTGTATGACGAGAAGAACGTTTGTGTACATTTGTGAGCGCCTACCTGTGCCACTCATGCGGGAGTAATCAACGGCACATGGCTATGAAAATCCATAAACCCACTCAAAGCAAGTAAGCAGTAAACCAGAGCTAAACAAATGGTCTAAAACACCATATAAGTGGGTCTAATCTAGTATGAAATGTAGGGTTTTTAGAGTTCTCTAGCCTTTTTAATGTTGTAGTTGGGTATTAGCATAGGATGTTCACTGTTAACTTTGACTCGAGATTTTAATCCAGTTTTTGTGTATAGATTTTAAATAATTCTTTTTAGTTAGTTAGTCTAGTTTTATTTAATGGAAATGTTGTACTAATTCATCCATGATGGTTTTTAGTCAACTACATTTTTTTTTTTTACTTTGATAAATTGTATAGTGATGCTTCCTGGGACATTGAGTTTGGGTATGGATGGAAGTGGCAGTAGTTTCTTTCGTTCATTCAGTTTAGTTTATGTTTTGTTTAGTCATATCAACCAAAAATGTCTGTATATTTAGTCATATGTTTAGTCATAGTCATTTACGTTTTAGTTTTACTTAGAAATCACACTACAGAAAACTGTGACAAGATATTGTAATGAATTAAATGACCATGGCATGATTGGTGGTGTGCCCTTGCAGGTGGAGCGGGGCAGGGGTCTGCTCGTTGTGGGCTTTGAGGATGGAGTGGTGCGTCTCCTAGATGTGTTTGACCCTGAGAGGCTGCAGATGATCCCACGACGCAACCGCAGAGGAGAGGCTGAGCTGCACCTCCGACAGGCCTTCAAACCCCACAGCACGAGTGTGAGCGCTGTAGCCTATGACCACAACGCAGACATGCTCGCCACTGCAGTGAGTCAAGCACACAGCAGCACAGCAAACAGTTAAACATACAACTATTTAGGTAATATAAGGCAGTCTGCATAGAACTAAATGGACATTTATTATGTTAAATATTAGACTCACTATTCTGTCTTTAACTGGACGACGTTCTCCACTACTTTGATCTTGTGGTTTTCAATTCATACTCTGCACAGATGTTTCTGTACACTGTGAACATCTTACACCCTGCAGTCTTGTGCTGGACTTCTTCACTTTTGTGTGCACTTTTATTGTGCATGTACTTTCTGTGTCAAACTGTGTTTGAGTGAAATGCCACAGTTTTGCAGTAGTCCCTTGTTGTTTGCAGAGCTCAGACTGCACAGTGTTCTTCTTCAGTGTGGGGGAGAAGTATCGGCCCCTGGGCTTTGTGCGCGTACCAGGCCCTGTGCAGGCTCTGGAGTGGTCTCCACGCACCCACGTGAGTCTTCCACATGCACCACACATCTCTGAATGAGATTTATTTTTGCCTAGTATGAAAGTGGTGTGTGAGTGAATGATGGTGATGGTTGGAGGGGCCGATGGCACAGATTGGCAGCCTCACTTCCGTCAGTCTGCCACAGGGCAGCTGTGGCTACTGTCCTGGAAAATTATCTTTTTAAATAACAGACATCCGTTGAAGCAACAAAAATAAAAGTTTATTTAATATCTTTGCAAAGAGAGGCAGAGGACACGTGTGCTCAATGCAGGGTTGTAACTCTGTCTGAGCTAGTGTCAGACTCACAAAACATATATAAGAGTGTCTAAACAAGTATTATCAAAAGAAAGGAAACATCTGCACCTGTGCTGGGTCATGATGCCCCAAAACATACGCAACGACAGTTAGTCCCTAATATGAGGAGAGCAGCTCTCATTAAATCAGGATATAAAGCACACAATGAAAAGTGTAAATAACTGCACGTAGTAGCAAAACTGTATTTTCCCATTACACTACAGTAGTAGCTTATCACCACTGAGTGTGGAGTGAAATGAATAATGAACTGTAAAGCACTTTTGGTATCTTGAAAGGCGCTATATAAATGCCATGATTAATTAATTAATTTACATGTAGAATGAAACATACAAACAATAAAGAATAGTAAATCAGGTCTGTAGCTTGTAAAAATAAATTTCAAAATTCAACCTAGTCAAAACTACTGTACACCAGATAATTATAAAAAAATTCAATATTTTTTTATTTTGTGTTTGTTGTTTGTGTTTCTTCCACATCACACAATCACATGATCAAATAACTTCACAATTTCACAGTATAAGGCCCTTAAATGCTGTAAAAAGGCCAATAACTTTACAGCTGAAAACTAAGACACCTTAAAGTGAGACTAAACACCTAAACTCCACCCACAACCACATTTCAAATAGAGCTGCTAAACTGGGCGAGGGCAGGAGGGGCGTTGTCTGGAGGTATACGGAACGACTGATATAACAGGTATCCACACTTAGATTAGCCATAGGTTTCATGAACACTGTAAAAAACTTGTAGGCTTAGATTGTCAGTTTTTAAATGAGCTGCTGTGTTGCTGCCTTAGAGTGAGAGCTGCCTGCTGGTGCTGTGTGGGACAGGGCATGTAGTGGAGGTGCAAAGTCCAGACCTGGAGCTGTCTGAGCAAAGACAGACTTATCAGCTGAGCACACTGTCCACCAAAGCCTTTTGCTTCAAAAGCATCAAGTCACGCATCCAGGTACCACCTACACTGCACCTGCATGTTTCATGTTTTACTATAAGATTTCACTCTCCCAAATTGTCAGCAGACACAAATCCAAGCATTCCCTACACACAGGAAAGTCATTCATTCAGTTCTAACACACGTTTTCACCTAAACATTATTCTATGTAATAAACTGTAAAATATTCATGGAAAGATGTTCAAAAGTTTGAATTGGCTGAATTAATATGTTTAAATCATGTCACACTAGTTAGACACATAGTACATAGTGTTGTCACAACACTAAAACAGCCTCAATTTAAATACTAGGGAATAGTCTCATTATTCAAAACCAATTCTGATACCACAATGATAATTAAAAACACTCTTTATTTAGACAATAGAATGTGATTTTAAACATTAAAGGGCACATATTACACTATTTCCTTCTGTGATTTTATGTTGTTTCCTCATCAGAAAATGCTCACTGTTGTGTTTTGTTTGATGCACACGTTTAACACAGAAACCCTGCATGTTTAGAGATTTTCTGTCAAATTGAAAGCACTCTTTTCCACCTTGTGATGTCATGCGGTAATACAGGAAGTGCTCATAGGCGTAGTTTGACTTTTCTGCTGGGGGGGCGAACATTTTAACCTGATTTAAAGTGTGTATTGTCATGTGCACAGTAAGGAAACACCTTGCCCTGTACAAAAAATGAAATGATCGCTTTACTGTCCACACCGCTGTGCATTATAACTGGTCTGTGACATTGCACACAATAGTTATAATGCTATTACACATACAACAGTAGTGTTCATAAGCCTCTCATAAAGCCAAGCTACACAGCACATCACACATGATGAGGGTCGGAGAGGGTGTGGTACATGGGGGTACGCTGCCAGGACTTAACCAGGACTAAAACAGGACTAAACCAGAACTGAACCAGGACTGAATGTCGGGACGTGCCCGAAGTGCGCCCACGTAGACCATCAGGTGACGGACTGGCGCAGAGCTCCGCACCCCGTGATCATGCTTTACGGACTCCCTACACCGCGGGCTTGGGGTTTTCTCTCTCAAGTCCAAGATTATTCCTGATTTAGTCCCAATTTAGTCCTGGTTTAGTCCAGGTTTAGACCTAGTTTAAACCTGGTTCCGTTCAGTCCTGGTTCAGTCCTGGTTTAGTCCTGGTTCAGACTAGGATTCACATTTATTTCATACAATCTTTTTGATTTATTGACATATTTAAAATATAAAAAAATTTTTTAAAAGTAAATATTTGTATTGACCATATTACAGACACAATGTCGTGACCTATTTAAGCTACTGAGGGGGCAGTGCCACTCCTGACCCTCCGCAAACTCCGCCTACGTCCTCTGTGTTTTAAATTCCACACACCTTTACTGAAATTATTTGGAAGATTTCAGCCCTGGAGTTTCCAGTCTCTACTAAACAAAAAATAAAATGTACCTGTTGACTTGAAAACTACTGCTTGATGGAATCATTAGGTGGAACAGAGTATTTTCTGCTTGGAGATGTTGACAGACTAATAACTGACAGTTATGCAAACATGTGAATGAAACAAAACACAACTCCAGGTATATTTGTTATATTGATGAGGTAGCAGCTTTATAATATGGCTTAAAGCTCATGAGAGCCAATTTGGCATCATATAGGACATTTAAGTCTTTGCAATTTTTTATATTCCCATGTGGTCTTATGTCTGTGTAATACCTCAGCAGTCCAGGTAGGTTCGTTAGTGGTTCATGGGTGTATATTAGTCTATGTGCTTGTAGTCTATGTCTATGTACTTGTTCTTATACAGCTCAAGATCATTCTAAAGCTATTCAGGACAGGGTCCTTTCTGTCCTGTGAATGAACATTTTTAGTATTGATACTTGTTCAATGAGTAGTTTCAATGCTAGTTTTGGTGTTGATTAGTACCTGATTGACTTTATACTATACTATTACTTTATACAATACTGTACTTTGGACAAGTGTAATAGTTCATAGTTTGTGTGTTTGTCAGAGAGAGGAGGTGGCCCAGAGACAGGCCCTGAAGGAAAAGAGACGCAGAGAGCGAGAGGAGTGGTTCAAACAGACCCAAAACTATGAGTTGGAGTCAGAGGAAGAACAAGAGGAGGAAAAACTGCCCCCCATCCACCTGCCTAATCCCCCCAGCCCCCTCTGCTGTGGCTTCTACTCACAGCCAGGACGCTTCTGGCTCTCCATGGTAATGCAGTCACACAAACAATACTTTCACTGTTAGTGAAAGTATTGTTTGTTTAGTTAGTCAGGGGGGTGCATGTTATGAGACACATGTGTAAACCAGCCAAATTTGATAGGAGTTTCATTCTTCTAAGAAGAAGAATGAAACTCCTACTGCATATATAGGGAGCAACACAGCTGTCAGGACAAAAGTTTGGAATAAGTGGGAACTACAGAGTGAAAAGGGTTCCGTCAGCATTCTCAGTCAAAGCTTCACACTTGTGGAAGTCTTGGTGGCAATGTTTAATTGTACTCTTCCTGTCAAATAAACCAATAAATTGAAATAAATAAATACACCAACTAAAACGGGGATCAAACCACCAACCATAGGATTGGTGGGCAAACGTTCCATCATTGTCATTTTTTGAATTACACACCACACAGCATTCTGGGAGATTTAGATATGTACAGTTCTATAAGTTTTGTTTTTCTTCTGTAATTCCAGAGGTTTTACAGTTATAGCACAGCATAGTTTCATAATGTGCATATTGGGAATTTATATTATAATATTGTGACTACTAATATGGGATAAACTCTCAGCTCAATGTAAGATAACACTGCATACCATAGGTCTCTGAGTAGTATGTGATGTGTGCTGTGTTACCTCTCCGTGACAGGGTGGATATGATGCGGGCTTCCTGTACCACTGTGAGTTCTCTGAGGATCAGGGGCAGGATCCTGCTCAGCGCCAGGACGAGCCCTTCAAGGCCCTGCCCATCCACAATGCAGAGCATGACCCCATAGTTTCTGTCACATTCAGGTACAACCCCCTCTCTCCCTCTCACCCTCCCCCTCCCCCCCTCTCTCTCCCTCTGTCTCCTTGCTGTGTCTCCTCTTTCCTTGTGTCTCATTTAAACATCCTGCTAAAGTTCAGAACAGTGTTCTATTCATGCTGCAGTTCTGAGCAGCACCTCCTGCTGTGTGGGATGACCTCTGGCTCGCTCAGAGTGTACCCGCTGAGCCCGGGTGACCACAACCTGGAGTCCATGCACCACTACTGGAACCTGAGTATCCATGACAACACCTATGGCGCTCTGCGGCACTTGCGTGTCAGCCATGATGAGCTGTTTGTCCTGACGGCTGGAGATGATGGGAACATCTTCAGCTTCAGTCTGCTACCTCCTGAGAAGCGGCCTCAACATGTCCCTCACACTAAAGTGCCCTCCCCCCAGGTTAGGGGACTCTCAGCCAAGCCACTTTTTTTTTTAATTGTTATATTTCTTTCTAAAATGTACTTGACTTATTTTCACAGACTGGTTTGGAGCATGAGGAAGTGGCCCAAGACATAGACAACCCCTCTGCTTACAGGTGTGTTTGCTTTGTCCTCTAATGTCCTCAGGTCTGAATCAGGAGTATCATGCAGTTCTACTCAACTATTTGTTTTATACACAAGTCAGAGAAGCTCTCTAATGAGTGTTTAAACCCTCTTCTAAATGTACCAAAGCCCCATGTTAAAGCCAGACTGAATGTTGTTGAGTGTTGTGTGGGCCTGGGATAGTGAGGCAGACTCAGATGGTTGTTGCGTGTTGTGCAGCATTGAGATGGCCAAGCAGATGCTGGAGAGTGACCGTGTGCAGCATGTAGCAGAGCAGAAGATCCTGAGGAAGCGCAAGACTCTAGGGGATCTCCAGAAGAGTGTCAGACTTCTACTATCCGAGAACCAGACTCTGCCCTTACACGTGCGCCTGCAGCCTCAGGTATGGACCAGAGCTTTTACACTCAAATGGCAATCAAAAAGGCGTCTATGACAGTATATTTTAACTGAAGCCCTTGACTAGTAGTGGAGCTGTTAAGGACCAAAAAGTGCCCAATTGTTCACTTTTGTGGTACAAGCATGAAACTTTGCCAGATTAGTAACGTTCCTAAGACCAACATTTCTGGATGTGGAACCAAGCTTAAGTCGACCCTGGAGCCGAGTACTGCCCATGTCACAAAATGGCTGACATATAAATGTGGCTGGGAGCTAAATTATTGCTTAAACTGCCTTTTTTGGAAAATAATGTTAAATTATCAAATAGGTTATAAAGATGAATATGTATGTATGTAAGATACAACCTACTGCAAATTGATTTCCAATGCTGTTTTTAGAGTGAAAGGAAACATTAAATCACAAAAATATTTGTTACTAAACTAATGGTGTTTTTTTAAAGATGTATTGTGTAACTTTTCTGGTCCCCATGGAGATGTTATTGCTTCATCTGGAATATTTCACAGTATGGCATTAAACTTTTCTATCTCCATGGAGACTAAACCAGACCAAGTTCCAGGTCAGATCTGTGGATAGGCGACCCGCTCACAGTCAGAATGTCTGTTTTTCTAGGTATTTTTGAGCTCTAAAACCACCTGTAATTGAATAAATGTAACGTAGAGTTATTTAATGTCACACTGTGGAACATTCCAGGCAAAGCAATGACATCTCTATAGAAACAAGCAGATGACAGACCCCGAATTAAAGTTACACAGTGCATTTTTAATAGTATTATGTACTGTGGCTAGTGCTTTTTGGTAATTTTACAGCAAAATAGGTAAATTTGCTAAATAATCTGGTCAAAAATGTGTAAGAATGAGTGTGTGTGAACTCCAGTGGCCGCTGTGATATCAAGTACGATGTGACATCACGCAGGACTGCCCTGATTACAGCCAGGTGTTTCTGTTTACAAATCCCTGGCTATAGGGATGGAATTTGTAATGTGGATGCCTTTTACACCAGTCACATTGTTCCTTATGCCCCCTAGCCCCGCCCCTCTCTCCTTTCACTCTCTTCATTAGTCCTCCAGGTACCACTCAGTTTATCAGCTCTATTTGAAATGTGTTTCTGGGCGGAGTTTAGGTGTTCAATCCCACTTTAAGGCAAATGTAAAATTTCATGAAAATAGTTTTGTGTTTGTTTGATTTGCTATCTTCATTTCTCCTCTTCTTTCTTTATCTTATATTATATTATTTCCAATGGTTAAATCACCTCTTCAGTCTTCCTTTTAGTTTCCTGGTTCAAATGGTATGGGGGTGTTTTTATTGCTCAAAAATACTTTGAAAAAAGCATGAATTCTAATTGTGAGTGGGGTCACCTCTCCATATATCTGACCTGTAAACATGGCCTGGTTGCGCCACTGGCTTGTCTCCAAGGTGATAGACAAGTTTAATGCCATACTAATCTGATAATTATTGCTCCCAGCAGAAAAGTTACATAGTAGATCTAGATTAATACTACTAAAAAATGTATGCCTAAAAAATAAAAAAATGCATTAATATTTGAATTGCCATTGTGTAAATGACCTTGCATTTTATTATCCTTACCATAATAAATGAGTGTTAGATTAGCAGCATCTCTTCATCGGCTCTTACATTGTCTTTTAAGGGGTCACAGCAATGGATTTAAATTTGTCGTGTGCCATGAATAAACCACAACCATCACCAAATGAAATTACTACCAAATTAATTTACCCCTCCTAAAACACATCACAGTATCATAATAACAATAATGACAACAGCAGCGGTGGACTGCTCATTCTGATAATCCCACACCAGACTGAGAACACCTTTGAAACTGTGGAGATGGTGATTTGGGATTATGGCCAAATTAAGGTGAGAGTCGACCTGGTTTTGTGATGGTGTCATATTTTCATTGCGATCTCTCAATCTGGAATGAGCTGTAGATGTTCAGACTAGCTAAAGAGGAGGCTCTGTTCACACCCATGCTGCAGTGAGATATGGATTGTAATAAAGATAAAAACCCATTATTAAGATCACAAATTTTCTATGTTTTGTGACAAGCAAGAGATCCTGCTAAATGTAAGAATGTATTAGGGTTAGGTAAGGGTTAGGTAAGAATTCAGATATTTGAGCAGTAAACACATTTGTTATGGCTTCTAGTTTAACATGAGGTAGTCCGTAGTTCGTAGTTTTGATTTCTTTTATTTGCAGATTTTCAGCATGCGTTTGCGTATGCGGTGCAGTGCGGTGCAGTCAAAGATCGTGTTGGTCGCCCTCCACAATGCCCTCGTCCCCACACACCTGTCTCCCTATTTGACCTGATTATTTGACCTAATTTCCCTAGGACCCACCCTCTTATGTGGACCCACCCTCTTACACTATAAACCAAAAGACTTAAATTAACTGAAGTAACTTAAGTTGGGACTGAATATAATTCATTTTAACATTTCTATAAATTTAAGAATAATATTTTAATAGTTGGTTTTAAAGTATAATAAAATATGAATTTATGGTAAATAAAAAATAACTTTTTAAATAAATTAAATTATGGCTCAAACAACATTTTCAGTCCTTAACTGAATAAACACAAGACTGATATGTTTAATGCCATACAGTGAAAGATCTTCATTAAAGGTTGTGGACCCCCCACCAGAAAAGTTATAATTTGCCATTAAGTATTTTAGTATTTTAAGACACCAGATCTACCCAGCCCCACAGATTGGGGATGGAAGCATGATTGCAGTCACCGGTTACTGTTGTGGACCACACTCCCCCAGGCAAAGGACACATGCTGTGAACTTATCAAGTGTCGATGCAGAGTAGCCTGTGGTGGGAGATGCAAGTGTGCAAAAGCACATTTGGCATGTACAGATTTATGCAAATATGGCAGCAGCTGCACTTAGAGCACTTTGAATAAGTTTAACGATTTAAGGTAGATCTCTGTTAAGTGTTAAGGGTTAAGCCTCTCTTCCATTCAGCATGCATTCCATGCATTTAATTATCATTATGAAATATGATATGGCACTTGCAGATCTTTAGAGATGGTTAAACGTTTTTTGTTATCAAAAACCCAATAAATACAGCTTTGAAAGATAAAATATTATATTAATTTGAATTTCAACCACAGGGAACCCACACAACACTTACATTCTCAAGAAAAATGATCACATGACCTCTTTAATGCTTTGGAGTTTATGAAAAATTGTTGTTCAACAGTACAAAATGGATAACTATAGAAATTAGACTATAAGAACCCTTTCTTATATACAGTCCCTGACAAAAGTCTTGTCGCTTATCCATTTTGTAGAAACAAAAGCTTATAACTTGACTTTAAATTAATCGATTGGTTTTAGAAATGTCTCATATGAAGCTAAAACCCTTCCAAATTATGCTCAATATACTAAAAAAAATTTGCTTCACTGAAAAAAGATTGATCATTTAATGAACACAGAAAGGTCAGATTTTGGAAAGACAAAAGTCTTGTGGCCTTGTCATATGATGCACCCAATCCTAGATTACAGCCTCACCTGTGGTCAGTTACTACTGATCAATCAGTTAGTGGGTGTGTATATAAAAAGAAGCCCAGCACACCAGACCTTCACATCAACTGCAACTTGACCTCTGACAACATGCCTAAGATCCACCCTGAGACCAAAGTGTTAATTATCAAGAGGCTGAAGACCAGATCCACTGCTGAGGTGGTGACACCTTCAATGTGTCTCAGCGTCAAGTACAAAGAATAAGAAAAAGATCTGAAATGACTGGAGATGTTTTTGACAAGCCCAGGTCCGGCAGACCCCGCAAGACAACTGCTCGGGAGGACCGTTTGTTGATTCGAAAATCCAAGGCCCCTTTTCCACTGCAGCAGACTCCACCAGGCCTGGTCACCTCAAGTCCCTGTGTCAACCACAACAGTTTGTAGAATTCTGTCTCGAAATGGCCTCCATGGTCGAATCAGTGCACAGAAACCAGCACTAAACAAAAGGCAATTAAAAAACTGTGTGGCATTTGCCAAGGCCCACAGCCTGCTAAAAGGATGGACACTGGAAAAGTGGCAGAAGGTGGATTTCTCAGATGAATCTTCAGTTAAATTACATCACAGCTGCCACAAATATTGCAGGAGACCTACTGGAGCCTACATGGATCCAAGATTTGGTGGTGGAAAAATCATGGCCTGGGGTTACATCCGGTATGGGGCTGTGCGAGACATTTGCAGGGTTGAAGGCAATATCAATAGCCTAAAATATCAAGACATATTAGCTACCTCTTACATTCCCAACCATAAAAGGGGTCAAATTTTGCAGCAGGATGGTGCTCCATTGCATAATTCTATCTCGACATCAAAGTTTTTCAAGCTGAAGAAGATCAAGGTGGTCCAGGACTGGCCAGCCCAGTCACCAGACATGAACATCACTGAGCATGGCTGGGGTAGAATGAAAGAGGAAGCATGGAAGGCAAAACCAAAGAATCTTGATGAACTCTGGGAGGCATGTAAGACGCTTTCTTTGCTATTCCTGATGACTTCATCAACAAATTGTATGAATCGTTGTTGAACCGCATGGATGTAGTCCTTGAAGCTCATGGAGTCATACAAGATATTAAATATGGATCTCACAGCACCACTACTTCATTCACTGACGTTATGCAACATATTTTTGTATTTGAAGTAAATTATTTGTTAAATTTTCTGTAGGCGACAAAACTTTTGTCTTGCCAAAATCTGACCTTTCTGTGTTCATTAAATGATCAATCTTTTTTCAGTGAAGCAAATTTATTTTAGTTTATTGAGCATAATTTGGGAGAGTTTTAGCTTTCATATGAGACATTTCTAAAACCAATCGATTAATTTAAAGTCAAATTATAAGCTTTTGTTTCTACAAAATGGATAAGCGACAAGACTTTTGTCAGGGACTGTATATATTATGCAGTATTTTTTTATCACAGCCTCGTTTTCATGTAGTCCATTTTGTGACATGTGCAGTTCTCAGCTCCAGTGTTAAATTAGACTTGGTTCCATATCCAGAAATAATAGTCTTGGGGGTGGCAAAGTTTCATGCTTGTGGCATAAACGGGAAATATTTTGGTCCTTAACAGCTCCACTATAGTGGGTATAGACAAATCTACACACAAGACAGAGAAAAGTCATCCTGTACAGTAGTCTGGGTCTGATTTGTTGGTGCTTACATGTTTTGCAGGAGCTACGTTTGGACATGCATTTTGTGGAGCAGGTGGAGCGTGTGAAGGCACAGAGGCTCAAAGAGGTGCAGAGGCAGCAGGGCTGGGAGGAGGAGCACAGCCACCATGCTCTGGAGAAACTGCACAATTGGTACTCACAGGATATGCTTGGAATATATTTTATAGTGTTTCAAACTAAAAGCCTTTGGCTTTCTGTAGCATTGCATTTTGTCAAAAACCTGTGCGTAAAATCCATGCACATAATCTGCCTCTCTTCCTCCAGAGTGCTAAGGCTCTCTTTGTTTCCATAAGCACATTGTAATACACCTTCACCAGACTCCGTTGAATAGCCTTCACTATACCATTTAATACTAGGGATGGAACGAGATCTTCCACCATGAGTTTTCGCAGGGTCAAATTGCCATGAGTCTGGACGCACATAGGAAAAACAGTGTTGCGAGATTTGATCTGTGTTTACATGTGGCCTAGGCATGGAAGGGTTGTACCTTAATCAGGCTCTGGAAAGTTGTGTGTCTTTGAGCAACTGTAGCTAAAAGACTCCTTTACACACAGAGTTGTAAGTCATGTCTTCAGATAGAGAACACTCTGTTCCAGTTTTTATTTTGTATTGTTAGGTCCAGTGTTGACACAGATAACCAGTGCTAAAGTTGGTTTAAAAAGGTTGTAAAATTATGATCAAATATGCAGAAGCACATCTAATTCACCCGCAGACAGCACTGAGCATGCAGTGTTTTTCACACTTAAACATAGTTTGAAAAAGATTCACAAAAAGATATTTAGTTAGTTTAAAGTAAGAAAGGAGAACGAAGGGCTGAAGCAACACAGAGGACAGAGGAGCATATCTGGTTTTTGTCTAATCATTTACATAAAAGTGAAGTGTAATAGACATATTGTATATTGAGTATCATTATCACCATCATCATCATCATCATAATATATCAGTACGTTCAACATTATTATTGTCCCAAAGTGAAACTGGTGTGCAGCAGCATCAGACATACAGTAGACATACAGTACAATGCAATAATACACTTAACCACAGTTTAAGCTATCTAGTTATGGCTTCAGACAAAAATGAAGTCCAAACTCTCTGAATCCTGATCCAGGTAATTTTCAGACACTGCACAGAAGGAAGGAGGTTAAACTCCTCAAAGGGCGGGTGGTCAGGGCTTTCCATTATTTGTTGGGCTTTACAAATCACCCTTTCTGTTCCACGCTCAACTTAAAAAAAAAACAAAAAAACAATTGGTTCAGCGGTCAGATCCCACTGGTTGGTGATGTGATTTCCGCTCCCACAGATGAATACTTTCATTGTGTCCTTGAGCAAGACACTTAACCCACCTTGCCCCTGGTGTCTGTGTACACTAGAATGTGAATGTGTGTGTGAATGTGTGAGTGGTTCCTTGATGTAAAGCCTTGTAGCCTTGTAGTGCCTTGAAGGTAGAAAAGCACTATATGAAAATGTCACCAATTACCAATTAGATGTCATGCAGCCGGGATTGCTGTGAGCCTATGATTTTACCTGCCACTTTGATCAACTCAGCCACAGAGAGGACACCAAACCAACAGACAATACAAAATGCAAGGACAGATTTAATAAAACTCTGATAAAAAAAAAAAGGGGGGGGTCAAAAGAACATTACTGACATTAAAAGCATTCTCTTTCCTTAAAAAAAAACAGTCTTTGCTGTTTGTGCAGATCAGTGTTCGGTTAAAGTGTAGGGCACTGTCAATAATTGTCCCCAAGTATGTATATTCAGAGACAAAGTCAACCTTTTTTCCCTGAATCACAGAATGAGTGCCACTAAGGGGCCACTTTCGAAAGTCTACCAGTCTTTAGTCTTTGATACATTAATAACACAAATAAAAGCATTCACACCATTCAATAAAATCATCTAACATAGGTCTGTGACTACTCTCATTGTCTGTTAAGAGATTCACAGTGACTATATTGTCTGCAAATTTCGGGATTTGTTATTAAATATGCTTCTGCAGTCATTGGTACAAAATAAAAAGCAAAGACAGTAACACGCAGCCATGTGATCAGTGGAACAATACAGTCAAGAAGACATGGCATCATTTACTTTAAAACACTGTGTCCTGCATAAGAAAAAAAAACACAATCCAAACAGCGCAGTTAAAAGATACAGCTAGATAGTATTGAAGGCTAGGTCTATGAACAGAAGCTGAGCATGGCTTTTCCAGTTGCCTCACTAGCAGATGAAGCAAGGTCAGTGGAGCATCCCTGTCTCTATTTGTTCTATATGCATATTGCATTGGATTGAGTTTATTCTGGTAAATGGTCACATTTTTCTATAGCACTTTTCCACCTTCAAGGCACTCAAAGCGCTTTACAACAAGGAACCACTCACCCATTCATACACACATTCACACACCAGTGTACGCAGACACTGTGGGCAAGGTGGGTTAAGTGTCTTGCCCAAAGTCACAACGACAGCATTCATCTGTGGGAGCTGGAATCACACCAGCCAACCTGTGGCTCAGTGGATCTGACCACTCAACCTGTGATGTTTATGTCGAGAGCTGGAATCAAACCACCAACCTTCAGATCAGTGGGCGAATGCTCTGCCACACAGGTGTCAAACATAAGGCCCGGGGGCCAGATCCGGCCCTCCAAGACCTTTAATGTGGCCCTTGGGTGATTTTCTACTAAAATATTTAAATTATATTTTCTATTAAAATCTTGGTAATTTTCTGTGGTGTTTATCGCAGCAGCGTCTCCAGCGTCTCTGTACGTGGCCCCTCCCACCAGAGCAGCACAAATGAAGACTTGTCTCTTTCCAAACGCTCTTAAAGGACGATCGTTTTGACTGTTGACCGTGACACCCTCATCAGAAACATGTCCAACATGAGAAAAGTGGAGCCAAGTGCAGGATTTTCCAAGAAAAATTTACTTATTCCTATTTACATACAAGTTAATGTTAAAACATTGTGTTGAAATTGAATTTTTCTTAAAGTTTCAGGTTGTTCATAATATTAGAATATTATAATAAGAAAGAGTTCATCAATTAAAAAAGATTTCTGCAATAGATTTGTGTTTCTGTGCACAAATATTTGAACTTATTGTTATTTTTGGGGTTTATATGCCATGAGTTTTCTGATCCGCCCCTTTGGGATCAAAGTAGGTTGGATACAGCCCCCGGACCAAAATGAGTTTGACACCCCTGGTCTACCAACTGAGCTACTGCTGCCCCACCTTCTGCACCTGGTTTAAAATTTGCAGCTTCACCAGCTTTTCAAATGTTTTCAGGACGAGTGAGGTGAGTGTCACTGGTCTAAAGTTATTAAGAACCTTAGGCAGGTCCATTTGGCCACAAGGACATCGTGGAACCATGGGTAAATATTTTCTGAAAGATACCACTTAATTGGGAAGTACAAGACTTGAGCACATGACCCTGACCAGGGCTCTGCAGATGAAACTAAGAATAAGGTTTCTATGTCGTTTACAAAGTCTGCAGAATATAAGGCCTTGAATGATGACACTTAAAGCACTCTGAGTCTATTTAGTTCTTCAGAGAAACACATGACATTTTTCACGAAGAAATATGTTGAGTTTGTATCTTATCACTTTCAAAAACAGGAACACATGATGATGAGCACACATTGTACCTCTGATTGTTCGTTCCAAATCTGTGGTTGTTTGCAGGTTTAAAGACTCCAGTGTGTTAACAGTGGTGGGCATAGAGTCTGACCACAGAGTATCCACATACTGCCTGCCCTCTGTGCCTGTGACCTGCCAGGCCTCAGCCAGGAGAGCCAGTCACAGCAGCTCCAGGAGTTCCACCAGCACTGAGGTCTGCAAAGGGCAGGCCAAGTCAGGCAGAGGGGCTGCTACCATCACAGGTCTCACACACACACACACCCCTCTCTTTTTCTCTCACTCTCTTGGTTTCTTTCTCTGTCTCCCACTCCTCCCCGTCCTTCTCAGATACATTCTAAAGGTCTTATGGGATGTGAAGTCATGATGCCAGTGGAGTCATTTGTGGAGTCAGTTGATACTAACTGCTGTGTCTGAAGCGCTCAAGTTAGACTTTAATTTGAGCTTTGTTCATCTCAAACTGGCCATAAATGAATAACTTAGTTGGAACTGTAACAGGTGATTTGTGCTGTTACAAGTCCTTCTGATTACAGTCACAATTTAGCTAGCCAACAGTTTTTCAGTTACTCCTTTGGTTCAAAGTCAAAGTTTTTCTTGAATTTTCAGATCATCTTAAAACTTTTTTTTGGCAGTCTTTGCTAATGTGTGCATTGTGTCACCATGGTAACAGTTGAGATTTTGACATAGACAGTATTATTCAATTGATACATTGCAGTGACCTCATGCAGGAGGAGTAGGAGAGCACCCTACTGGCTTTGTACAATGCTGTCTTTTGTTGAGTCTCCAGCACTACACAATGCTACATCATCCTGACTGCTACCCTGACAGGAGTTCCGAATCACTAACAAGCAATTATTAGGTGCAACATACATTTCCTAAAATAGTGAAGCAACCATGGGTTCTAGTGACTTTTCCTTCTGAGACTTTGAATGTGACATCGTCTTCCCTCCTCTGATGTGTCTGTGTGTGACTTTCAGACGAGGAGGTGTTACACACAGCTCCTCTCGTGCCCCGGCCTCCTGCTGTCAAATTGGCCAATCGGCAGGTGGAAAGGCTGAAGAAAGCAGCTGAGAAAGCAGAACAAGCCCGAGTGAAGATCCAGAAGAGGAAGGAAGAGTGGGCACAGATGTAAGTCCTCCACATGCTTTGGGCAGTAGCAATCACAAAATAAATACATTGAACTTAAAGGCCCTATGTTACACTAATAGTATTACATTGTATACTCATTAAAACATATCTGGAGATATGTTTTGTTTTATTCACAGTACTCCACTGTGTTTTTAAACTCCATACAACTTCACTAGAATCATTTGCAGCCTTGGAACTGCCTGACTTTGAAGCTATTGTTTGAACGTATGCAGAAGCATAGCCATACTGGACTCTACTAGACTGGAAAGGACATTATCACATTGTCTCTCCAGGTGCTGGGTCCTGCACTGATGGTAAATAAACTTCTGCAGTGTTAGAACTCCAGTGGCATTCCTCTGCTCTTCAACATGCTGGCTACTACAGCTTATTCTACAATGCTCATCGTGAAAAACTGATACAAATGACATGAGTGCATAACTGTAGTGTTGTTGTATTAGTTACGCGGAGAAGCCTGATGAAAACTATGAGGACCCTCAGGATGTCCTGGCCATCCAGAGCGCTCGAGAGACTGTGGGGGAACGGAAGCTCAAGACCTCCTCTGAATTCCCCAAACAGCTGCAGGTGAACGTCGAGAGGAAGAGAGAGGAACTGAGCGTGCTGCAAGAGGCGGTAACCACTCACACACTTTTAGATGCATATCAGCTAAATCAGATGAGGTATTTGAATTTAGCACAACTGGATAATGCAGGATAACAGTATAACACCAGGATCTGCAATGGACCACAAACATAAATTACACAGATGTTGAGTGGGAATTGCTCTTATAGTTCAGCTCAGCTAAGATGCAACTGAAGTAAAAGTAAAAGAGAAAAGACATTTAATGTATGTGATAGACAGTTAGTGAGTTTTGGAAGTGGCATGTCACCTGGATGATTGCATGGAGATAGAAAGTTAAAACCATACTTAGTTCCGAACATTCTCCATGGTGATAATGTTACTGGCAATTTGGCATCCTGCAAGTGAAGGCTGCTGTGATTTTGGGCTTTACAAATCTACACTGGATTGAAATACTGTGAAATACTAAGATTATAGCCAACATAGCAAAATTTCCATGGCCATCCATCCCTCTTCTAGGCCAAATAAGAGTCAGGGATGCAAGCCCACTCAGTAAGGTTGTAAGGTTTTTAGTGCAAATAACCACTAAAAAGGTAAAGCTTTATTAGTCTAATTTAAAGCCACATGATGTATCATTGTCTTCAAATTCAGGACTATTTTCAAGTGAAGTCATTTATAGGAATGGAATATGTTGAACAATCAGACTAAACCCTGATAGAAAGAACATGCTCCATCAGATGCGGTGCAGACAGTCGGGGATGAACACTCGGATCATAGCTTTACGGGACTCTAAGCTTCAGCTGGTGGCTCGACTCCACGCTTTGAGCACAGAGCTGCAGAGGATCCAGCGGAGGCTCCCAGCAGAGTCCCACCTGCACTGCCCTGCCCTGCCCCATGTGTTGCCAGAGGAGACCCCCGAGAAGAGGCAGCAGTATACCCATGCTACTCTGCTCAATTACAAGCAGCTGAGGGACCACTGGTATGGATTCTCCTTTAACTATCTAGTGGAAGAGTACACCAATCAGATTCTGATCTGTTCAGAAGACAAAGGCCTTATGGTGTTGATTTTAATTGTATTCAAATTTTGTCCTCCTTTGAGTCAGCCCTTTTTTGAGAATTATTCTAGTCATTATGTAGTTCCATTTTGGTCTTGCTTTAGACTTTTAAGAACTTTTATAAGACGATCCTGTTATAGACCTTGTTAGAAAATAATCTATATAAAGCTCCTGTACTCGTAACTACATTTGATCGGGAATCCATATTGGCAATGTTGAATTAACAGTAATGGCACAGAGTCCGCTTTTGTATTTATTTTTTTGTGTTATTAAATAAAATCATAGACAATGATTTATCTTAAAACTAATCAGATTAAACTTTAAAATCACACCCGTGCCAGGTAAGGGCCACTAAAGAGTATAGATTTCTATATATCTAATATCTGCACATCAGGTTTACTTTTTAATTTCATATATTGTCAAAAAAGGCTCTCTGAAGATGTTTGTGAAAAACAGACTTTATTATAAAGCTCTGATCTTTGGCTGAACCTGAGTATGCTTCAGGGCCGCAGTCAAGGAGCAGGACCAGGATGAAGCCTCTGACATTCTGCAGCAGTTGGAGAAAAATCTGCGGGAAGGTCAACACCCTGGCGGCCAGTCAGACACCACAGAAGAGACCACCAGTCAGTTAGATGCAGACCTGGAGCTAGAAGAGAAGGGGCTAGTGGAAAATACTTGGAATATGGAAAAGGAGTTGCAGATGGAAGAGCAGATCAGGCTTCTGTATCAACAGGACTGTATAATAGAGCAGGTGTGTAAACGCTGCCTTTTATTTAACAAGCGTCAGAACTCATGATTTTTAGCTTTGGGTAAAAAAATCAAGCAGTGATTTTAATGACAAACACTTAATGCTAATTTATTCACAATTAACAAACTGTTTTACACTTTGCAGTGGTGTAGTCTCTAGTGGTTATAAGGTCATGTGTGTGTCTTTGGCTCAGAGTGTGGGATTTGACTCCTGCTGTCTGTGTGTGTGTCTGTGCCTCAGAGGTGTTGGAGTGGGATGTGACTCCTGGTGTGTGTCTGTGTCTCAGAGGTGTTGGAGTGGGATGTGACTCCTGGTGTGTGTCTGTGTCTCAGAGGTGTTGGAGTGGGATGTGACTCCTGGTGTATGCTTGTACCTCAGAAGCAGAGCGAGGTGTGGGAGTGGGATGTGACTCCTGGTGTGTGTCTGTTTCTCAGATGCAGAGCGAGGTGTTGGAGTGGGATGCAGCTCTGCGGATGATCCTTCATGAGAAACTGGCTCTGGACCAGCAGCTGAAGCTGGCAGACCTCCGACAGATCACTCTGCTGCAGGAGCTTCTGCTGTTCAAGCAGTTTGAGGGGGAAAAGGAGAGTCTGCAGAGCAAGCTGAGCGTCAAAGCAGAGGAAGAGGAGGCCATCATGGTACACCAGCTTGACTGTAGCACTACAGCATTCTCACCATGACTAACATCATTCACTAAATGAGACACGTTCAAGTATTTAATCAGTAAAAGAAATGGCCAGGTTTAAAATTTTTTTGTTTGTATTTGCCTAGCTTAATTTCTTCTGATTCCGTCGTATCTCTAGAAACAGAAACTCTTTGAATTGTAGTTTCAGTGGTAAAAAAAAAAAAAAAACCAAAAAAAAAACTAAACTGCCTACCACCTGGCGGGAGCACCACATTGGTATACGCTAGAAACATACTAGAGCCCCTGGTATTCTCAGCAGTCTGTCCTATCTAAGTACTAACTAGGCTCAGCCCTGCTTATATGAAGAGATCCGTAAAGATTGGATTTTGGCAAGGTAGTATGGCCACATACATTATTATAATTCAAGTATTACCATATGTGACATTCTAGGCTAATGGCATGCCAGTAAATATTTACAGTTATGGTTATAGTTTTACATTAAGTGCTTGGCTTAAAGACCTTATATTATACTATTTTTGATGACTTTTTTTTGATTGATTGATTTTTGTTACACTGTTGTTTCCTCATCAAAAATATAAGTTGTGTTTTGTTTCATTTGCACACTCAAACAGAAAGCACCTTGTGATTTCATGTCGTAATACAGGAAGCGATGCGCTGTGTTTTTAAACTCTGTACTTAAACTGTACACTTTTACTAGAATCATTTGGATAATTTCAAACCTGGAATTGCTCATCTTTGCTGGAGTAAAGGTAAGAGGAGCTGTTAACTTGAAAAGTACCACATTACATCACAAGCTGGAAATTTAGAGCTTTGGAGATGTATACACACTAATAATAAAAGATTTGTCAAATATGTGTGAATGAAACAAAACACATTCTATCCATTTTGTGTAATACGGGACCTTTAACTTTGAACCTTGGTATCAGAGCTATACAATACATTTGAAACCTACTAAGTCCTCCTAAGAATGTATTTATCTGTAATGTACTCCTAACTGGGCAATGTATCTTCCAGGATACAAACACTGGCCGAGTATTCTTTACTTATTGAAAATGTCATTTTGTGTGTCAATAATAACAAAAAATTTACAAGAGAACTCCTACATTTTGTTGTGCTTTAGTTGAGACTGGAGGAGCTGAAGGAGCAGCTGGAGTCAAAGCTGCAGTACATCACCAAACTTCAGGAGCGAGAGAAGGCCCTGACCACCACATTCATTGCCACACTGGGAGACAACAACAAGTTTGAGGAGTTCCTCACCAGAGTCTTCAACAAGAAGCACAAGAGGCTCAAGAAGAAGACTGCAGTGGATGGTAGAGAATGGAGACTTTTAAAAGCAATCATTAACATTTTGAAATGCATTCTGAAAGTTACAGGTATAATATGGTCCATGCGCTCCTTCCCTGCTTCTTCCAAAATTTGGCATAGGAGTTAAAAAAGCCTTACATGCTATCCAAACCATTTAAAAGATAGGATTGCCCAAAATAATAATTTCAGTTTTATCTTTGTTTAAACTGAAAAGGTTATTTATCACATGGTTTATTTCAAATGATGATAGTAATGATAGATAAATAGATAGATTCAAAAGACAGATTTTTACTGGCAGCTTGTATCTAGTCTATTTTTATTAGGGAGCAAAATTATATACTTGACTACTGTCTACTTTCTACTTAGTTCTGATTTAGTTTCTGCCCATAACAACATGACAATGGACAAAATTCCTTTTCATGTGTACAGCAGAACAGGGGGCAGACAGCGAGGAGGACGAAGATGAGGAGTGGGATGATGACGATGAAGGTCTTGATATGTGTCCTCCCGGTGAGTACTCTCACATCCATCCTGCTCTCTATATACACCTTACACTCTATAGCCATTCACTGAGCCCACAAACAGGAACAGATGATGTAGCTCTACCATCTCTGAAGGGATTTAAACAAGGGAAAGGATTTTGTAATTTAATAGTGCAGTTATGGAAAAGAAATGTATAAAAAATTACAATATTTAGTATATAATCTATAAATTAAACAAGTAAAATGAACAGCAAAAAGAGACAGAAACATCTGGTGTAATTTCCCAAACAAGGTCATGAAGTGATATTTCTGCCCTTGTGGTTAATTTCTTGTTCAGTTCATGTTTTATGTGACACTTGAGCCGTAAAAAAACAACATTTATACATTAGCACATTCCTGGTGTTAAAGTATTTATTATTTATTTATTTATTTATTTGATTGGGACAGAGCATGTTAATGAACAAACATGACAACATGAATATAAACACACCGGATTGTAGCTTAAGGCTAATTTCCATCCGTTGTCCCAAGGGCTGGGGTCACAGGGGGTCAGACACTAAAATATTGCACACTCCACTCATTATATAGTTCCATTCATTGCACAGTTCCCATTCATTGCACAGTTCCCATTATTACACAGTTCCCATACATTGCACAGTTCCCATTCATTGCACATAGAAAAACAATTAAAATCACAGTGCAGTTATACATGTGTACATGTTTGATTTGACCATAACCAAGTTTTTGTTTGAGCTTTAAAAGAGCTGTATGTAGGGCATTCTTTCAGGGTCAGTGGAAGACTGTTCCACAGATTTCCACCTTGTACAGATAAAACATTCTGACCAAAGGTGGTCCGTCTCTGGGGTATGACCAAGTCACCCCTGGTGGTGGCTCGTGTGGTTCTTATTGAAATGTCTTTACATTTAATGTAATTATTTAATGGTGGTGGTGCCAGGGAGTGTAGAACCTTATAAATTAGACAAGTCCTTTTGAGTTTGACCATGTTGCTAAAATCTAGAAGCCTGTGCTTTTTCAGTATGTGACAGTGGTGGTGGGAAATGGGTTTTTTGTCAAGTATTTTTAGACCTCTTTTATAGAGGTTTTCAATGGTTTTAAGTGTTGTGGGGCAGGCAAGAGACCAAGTAGTTAAGCAGTAATCGATGTGAGAGATAATCAGTATCATCTGAATATTTCTGATTATGGTAATGCAAAAAAAATCAAGATATAAATTGAGCCACAACGAGCAGAGCACATAGAGCAGACTGGCTACAGTGTGCTTCTCCTCTCCCCAGACTGTGAGCAAGCTCTATTTGAGAACACGTTGCAGCTGAGAGAGCGCAGACTGGACCTGCAGGAGCAGCTACAGGAGGAGAGTAGGAGTGCTGAGGCTCTGAAGAAGGATTTTGAGACCCTCGCTAATAAAGTAACTCTGTCCTTTATTGTTCTCTTCACTTCATCTACACGTGGAAAAGTCAACACTGTTATTCTCAGTCACTGTGTGTTTCCAGGGGACGAGTGTGAGGAACAACCGCAAAGCAGTAGAGGACGACCTTGAGCTGATGGACCGAGAGAAGCAGCAGAAGATGAACGAGCTGGATGTGGTGGTGCCTCTGCGCCTGCACCAGGTCAGCAGTACACCTCACAAGGACCTTCACATAGTACTCCTCATATACTTACAGAGCAGTCCTACAGCTTAGATTCATGTGGGTGGAGCCTGTAATGTAGGTCATGTGGGTGGAGCCTGTACTGTAGAGTCCTGTAGGTGGAGCCTGTAGTGTAGAGTCATGTGGGTGGAGCCTGTAGTGTAGAGTCATGTGGGTGGAGCCTGTAGTGTAGGTCATGTGGGTGGAGCCTGTAGTGTAGAGTCATGTGGGTGGAGCCTGTAGAGTAGAGTCCTGTAGGTGGAGCCTGTAGTGTAGAGTCATGTGGGTGGAGCCTGTAGCGTAGAGTCATGTGGGTGGAGCCTGTAGCGTAGGTCATGTGGGTGGAGCCTGTAGCGTAGAGTCATGTGGGTGGAGCCTGTAGAGTAGAGTCCTGTAGGTGGAGCCTGTAGTGTAGAGTCATGTGGGTGGAGCCTGTAGTGTAGAGTCATGTGGGTGGAGCCTGTAGCGTAGAGTCATGTGGGTGGAGCCTGTAGCGTAGAGTCATGTGGGTGGAGCCTGTAGCATAGGTCATGTGGGTGGAGCCTGTAGTGTAGAGTCATGTGGGTGGAGCCTGTAGTGTGTAGAGTCATGTGGGTAGCCTGTAGAGTCATGTGGGTGGAGCTGTAGAGTCATGTGGGTGGAGCCTGTAGTGTAGAGTCATGTGGGTGGAGCCTGTAGAGTAGAGTCATGTGGGTGGAGCCTGTAGTGTAGAGTCATGTGGGTGGAGCCTGTAGTGTAGAGTCATGTGGGTGGAGCCTGTAGTGTAGAGTCATGTGGGTGGAGCCTGTAGTGTAGATTCATGTGGGTGGAGATCTCTCAGGTCATGTGTTTCAGTGCTGGGGCAGTGCTGATGTGATCTGATTGTGTGCTGTGTTGTTCAGATGGGCGTAGAGCTGTGGACTGACCTAAGCCAGGTTCTGGTGCTGGAGCGCACTGAGCTCCAGCGTCTCCAGGACAGGATCCCAGAGCTGCAGCGCGAGAAGGGCCAGCAGAGGGAGCTGTTCCACCAGGCTCGGCAGCAGTACGCCCGGCTGCAGCAGGACAACACAGACATGAAGGCCAACATCCAGGGTCTCCTCCCACTCACACTGTCCCCACTGTCCCTACTGCTTTTATTTTGTGAAAAGCCTTTGTGGTTTATGCTCTGTTTTTGAGGGAATGAGTCACCAATTGGAAACTATTGTCAAATGTCCAGAAATACATTAGTAGCAAAAACAATGTTAAAAAAACAAACACTTTAGAAGCACAATACTTTTGAATGAATGTAGTTTAGCATTTTAAATATGTGACGACACAATCCCGAGCTCTGTTGGTAGGTAATCCTGACCTGCTGACCTTGCTCAAGATCTCTGATATGTCCTCTGGCACAGCTCTGCAGTCATCCAGTGTTTCTGACAGGAAAACCCAGTGGCCTTGAAGGATGGGTCAAATGCAGACCTGTACCTTATTATCTTATTATTTTATCTAAACAACAGTGAAGAGTATTGGGTCATTTCTGTTCATTTTCACACCATTGTGACATTTTCAGCACCACTGAGTGCCTATATTAGGGTGACCATATTTGCATTTGTCAAAACCAGGGGGTGGGATGTGGTGCTTGTCATCGACATTGAGTGACTCTCACCTGGCAAAGCTTTTTAATGTTTTTCTGTGTCCTGGTGCTTTGAGGTCTCTGGCACCACTACTGGACTCTGAAACATATGTGCCTGCTTTGTACACTGTGCACATGGCCTCCTACTTGTCCCGACTGGGACGGAAAGTGGGGAATTTCTTGTACAAGTCATCGTTAAATGCGCATTTGCGCTTCGGCATGTTACAGGCTGACCGACTGTTTGTATCTGCTCGCTCTTTCTGAGTCACAGAGGTACGAGAACCGCTCAATTTAATGGCCCAATGAAAGGTAATAAAAATCCAGACATTTGCATCACTTTGTAAAAAAAAACAAAAACAAAAAAACAGACTGCCAGGACAGGACATGGAAAACGGACATGTCCAGGGAAAAACAGACGTTTGGTCACCCTAGCCCAGGGGCATCCAAGCTTTTTTCATCAAGGGCCACATATTTAAACACAGACAAAGCAGAGGGCCGATCGAGGGCTGTAGACTGATGCTCAGTACAGGGAATAATTGAAATGTCTGCATGTTTAACATGTTAGAATGAGCCATCAGTCTTTATTCATGCTAAGATCCTTACACTAAATATGAAATATTGGCTTTATCAAGGCAAATTTTCAAAAAAACTTGCAGTAAAAAAATATTTTTTAATTGATGCAAGTTAATTAAGGCCAATTCACCTGGAAGTCTGAGAGCCAAGAAAAATTTGTCTGAGGGCCGCATTTGGCGCCCGGGCCATTGTTTGGACATGCCTGCCCTAGCCTAGATGAAATGTTTTATGAATGATATTATATATGATATTATAATATGAAATACTTAGTGATGTTATTTGAAAGCTTCTTTCAGCTGTTGTGACTGTTGGGTGGGGGCCAACCCTTGTGTCCAGTGGCTGTGTGCTTGTGTAAGCCCTATTCCTGTGTGCTGTTGCAGTGCTGAAGAGAAGATGCAGTGACCTGATGATGAAGAAGTTTGGGCGGATCGTGGACTTGGAGGCTCTGCAGACCCTCTCAGGGAACAGGGTCCTGGAAGAGCTCAAACAGGACCAACTACTGCGGGACAACAAGTACACTCGTGAGATCTACCAGTGGGATGTACGTATGTCTAAAGTCCACACTTCTCCCCACCCTGGCTTCAAGGCTTACCGGCAAAGATGCAGTAGCAGAGCTTGAGTACCCATTTTAACTGACCCTGATGTCCTCCACAGCTGAAGGTTCTGGAGGCTCGTGACGCTCTCATGAAGGCCACAAAGAGTAACACAGAGACCATGCTCAGCATGACCCAATTCCTCAATGAGAAGAAGGATTCTGAGCAAAAGATCAAAGCTTGGCAGAAAAGGATGGTAAGACCCCATGGGCCTGATCTTGTCCCCAATCTTAGCACTAGCGCTAGCGTAAAGGAGGGGGCGTGTCCAGGTTGGGCTGTATTTCGCTGCTGGAAGCTGGAGAGTACATACTGTATATGGTGACTGCATCTGAACCAATTTGTGACCACTGTGGCATTTAAAAGTCACATTCTCATCTCTCGGGTCCACTGCATTTGGTCCCACACAGGTGGAAGTCTCGCGGATTAAGGAATATGTTTATCATCATATAAATGTTTCTGATGTTGCCGCTTTGCGCACAGATATGATACATGCGTCTGCTCCACTGTCACAGCCCTGAGCTGTCAGTGAATGTATGCATTGATCCCTGTAAGAGTCGGGCCGCGAGAATGTGAGGAAATTGTCATCGCAGCATTAGGTCCACAGACAGAGTAAGAAAACAGACTTTAGGACATCGCTGTAAATGGCCACATGTGAATGAGCAGCTTTTGTACAGATCCAGATCAAACCAAAATATAGAGCAGAGCTGAGCCGATACAGGGAGCGGGAGAGGGGCTGTGATCTGCTGCGGACAGCTCCTGCATAACAGTTATGTTAAGCATTTATCATCCTAATATATTTCTAAGCAAGATCAGGCCCCATGCGTCTGAGAGCTGACACACACAGTACAGCCTCAGAGCTGCATGCAGTACAGCACAGGGTACTGAGGGATGACACCTGAAGGACCAATTGCGTTGGGCTTATAAAAGTGTACTTATTTATTTCAAATTACTACATTAAACAAAATAGCATATATCATAATAAATTGGTCAATTTGCCCAGACTGTATGTAGATTCAGACCTGCTTCTCACTGACTGGATGTTTTGTTTAACCAGGATAGTCCAGGATAGTGAGATGAGTTTTGTGTGTCTCTTGTTTCAGGGTAAACAGCTGGAGGACAGCCAGAGCCGCAGTGACAGGCAGGACATAGTGCATCTACAGGAGGTGGTGAAGGCCCAGGTGGAGCAGGCTGCTGCTCTGAACAGAGAAATCCAGCTGCTGTCCCGCAAAGGAGGACATATTCTGCCTCCTGGCCCTGTCCCCCCAGCCCTCAGACCCCAGCCTTCAGTCTCCGCCCCTTGCACATCACACACACACACACACCAGCATGAGCCACTGTGACAGGCCTGAGGCAGAACTACACTTTTGCTCATGTTTGATTGTGTTGGTTTTGGAGCGCATGCCCCTATGTGACCTCCTGCTGTCCTCCAGGGGGCAGTGCATATCAGGCCACTGTGTTCGACTGTGATAAACTACTGCACCCTGCTGCACTGTGAGTGGACAATCCATGAAATCTAAAACTGTTTTTGAAATACATTTTAATATTGCAATATAGATATATCCAACAAGATAAAAGTGGCTTACGTTGCTTTGTCACTTATGTTGCACTGAGAACATAATTCACTGGAAATGCTCAATTGTCTGAAATGAATAGTGAAAGAATAAATATTGAAATTGTAAATGGATCCTTGAGCTTTGACCTTTGTAGCAAAAAAGAAAAAGAGAGACAGAAAAGAAACAGTTCTACTTTGTAAGACTTTTTACACAAGTTTGTGTGTACTGTAACTCATTTTATCTGAGACATTTAAAAAATTTTAATGTGTATGTCGTCATCACACATCACAAATCATTAATGGATAGCTCCTTTTTTAAATGTGTGTACCCATTTAGAGTAGAGCACTAACCCGCTTTTATCTTTTTAAGTTTTAAGTAGATTTTTATTTATTTTATTTTTTTTATTGATCTTATGTAATATTCAAAGAGACTGAATTTTGGGTTATCATGATCTATTATATATTATCTAAGAAAAAAACTCTTGAAATATTTCATATAATATATTGGTTTGACTTTTCTTAAATGAGACAAATGGACTAGTATTCACTCATATAATTGTACAACATCCACAATAAGCCAACATCAATGGGCTTATAAAACAGCTATTGAACCAGTCACACCACAAAAGTTGAAATTAAATTTGTATTTATGGTATTTATTTTTTGAAACAAAATTAAGTGAGCCATTTACAGTATTTACAATATAAAAAGATGCCATAGCACTGATGCTTTGACCTGGGCTCCTGCTGTAGCTCTGGTGAGACAGGGAGCTGTACACACACAACACACACAACAACTGATACAGAACGGACTGTACCCTCCAACCCAAAACCCCAAGAAGAAATCATGGACACCAGTGCAGACACATCAGACAAACAGTGAGAAACATGATCACAAACATTAGGGATAATGTATAATCATATAATATTTATGAGTGAAATTTGAATTTGAAGTGCTAGCTGCACTGAAAGGGAGCAAAGCACTTTGGGAGTTTTAGCACTGCACCACTTGAGCTGCAAATGATTGTGTGATACAATTGTGACTGACCTGATATCACAATATTTCGTCATTGATATCACAATATTACAGTTACTATTACATCACTGCTCCTGTCTGTCAAACATTCTTGTTTTTCCAACAGTGTGAACCCAAAATGAAAGCGCAGAGTTGACACCTTTATCGATAAACATGTGGCAGTGTCCTGTGTCATGTGGCTCACAGCTTGTCTAGCTCCTCCCTCAGCTGCTGCCTCTCTCTCTGGAGCTCACTGATGCAATGCTGGTTGTGGCTGAGCCTGTGCTCCAGCCACTGCAGCAGGGGTCCGCTCACTGCCGACATCTGGCTGCAGAGGTTCTTGGTGAAGACGGAGCCGTTGTGGATGCGGGTGACCGGGTCCAAGTGGGACAGGGCGTGGATCTTCCTGTAGGTGTCCTGCTCCTCTTGACACAGGATCCTGGGCAGCTCCACAGCAGACTCCAGACAGGCCTGAGAGGGACAAGAGGAGGAGGAGTTACACCCTCAGCACAGAGCACAAGGAACACGACACTAAATACAAACATGCATCTCACTCTGGCTCTGAAGTTGAACTGTACATGCAACAGAGGACTACAGTAGTGTTTCCCAGATAGACTGAAGGTGCAGAGGGTCAGAGAACTACTGTTAGAATAGACCTTCTGCTGATGATTCCTAATGTCATTTATTATCAGAACAGCAGTAATAATATCTACCTTGCTGATGGCCTCCCTTGGCAGCACGTGGATGGGGATCTCCAGCCGTTCATTCTCAGAGCCCTTGGCCGTGGATTGAAAGCAGGTGTACAGCACACGTCCTGTGCGTGTGTTTTTGTCCTCGATGAAGCAAGAGAAAATGAGCCCCACAAAGCCTTGGTCCAGCATCTGGTACATGGCCTACAAACAAACACTGTCAGTGAGTCGATTCATTATGTGTCAGCATGTGTCACTCTACTGTACCACAGACTGTCGATGTACTGTACTGTACTGTCCAGAATACACAAAGAGTAGCAAGAATTAGTAACAGAATTAGCATAGGATAGTACCTGTGTACGTACGTCCACGTGGGAGGGCCACACGGTGATGTGGGGGTGGGAGTGATACCAGCCCACCACCCTCATGGGCCGCCCCGTGCTGTCTGCCAGTCGCTCGGCCTCTGTGCTGGCTGCAGACAGCTGCTCCGGGGAGATCTCCACACGGTCCTTCCGTTTGTCCGAACGTCTCAGGATGATCACAGAATGTACATGGACCACCCGACTGGGCTCCAGCTCACCAATGCACAGCCCCATCACCTGCACTCACAAGGGCAGATGTAATTACAAACTGCCTCCCAGAATCACAACAAATGTTCAAACTGATCAGCAGTCACAATGTGCACTGGCACATGTCACCAGTCTGTTGTCAGAGGAAATTATTTTAGATTTTTCTTGACAGAATTCTGAAACTGAAACCTCTCCTGACCACTGTTGTCCCTCTCTGGTCAGTGCCTCCACTTAAACTGCTAAATGTAGGACCATAGACTATATATGCAGTAGTGCCCAACCGCCTACTTTTACTACAACTTGGTGCTCACTGCTCAGCTAAAGAGTCACGTCAGATTTCACATCCACAAAGATTAGCACCAAGTCACACTCACACTACAACCACAGAACTATACATCCATGACTCCAACTCATTATACAGGCTGAAGAAGCGAGACGGGGCCTGGAACTGTCCGGGGGGGACTTAAAAGTGGAAACTTGGCAAATAAAAGATGGTTCGTACAGACCCTACAAGTCTGTAACGGTACTGTTAAAAGGCGTTTTCGTCCATCACGCCCTAAGACATAAAGTGCGGTGTCCGTGTCCCGTCCGTGTCCCGTACCTCTTCTTTCTCGGTGCTGAGTGCGTGGCTCATGCACACGAGGAAGGCGTCGGACTCCAGGTGACAGGCGCTCACTGCCATCCCGCAGCGGCTATGCTCACAGCGGACAGAGAAACGGACAGAAGAGCGGGATTATGCATCAAACTGAACTAACGAGGCTAACAGCTAACAACCATAGCTAACAACAACAATGGGCCTCTTCCGGGTTCTCCCAGTGAGGCGGGAGCAGTGCGTCAGCGCCATCTGCTGGAACGCCACGTGACTGATCCATGGATCGAACCCGTACAGTCGACTTGAGCTAGGTAGCGCTACTGCGCATGTGCCCAACCCCCCACCCCGCTGAGTTTAAATGCGTCGATTTGAGCTCCCGAAACAGAAGTGTGGAGTAACCAGTCACATTTTAAAAGTGTATTGTTTTTATTGTATGTTTTGTCCAGTTAAGCAACGACATGTGCGTGTGAGATTTGCTGCAGAAGAAGACATTAGATGACTGAATAGTTTGGAATTATTATTTTATTGTTATCATTTTCATTACATTGCATTTTATTTTGTTTCCATGTGTAGCAACTTTGTTTAGGAATGTGCTGTATAAATAAAATATCACTATATTATAATAGGAAATCACACTGTAGCCTGTGATATGAGTGTTAAATATTATGTATTTAACATGTTTTTCTCTTCTATAGTGGGAGTCTTATTTGATAGAAGATATCGACCTGTGGAAATGAGCTCCTCTACCCAAATTCATATAAATGAGTGAATAATGGTGATTCTACAGTGGGAGCATTATTCGATGGCTAAATTGTCCTGTCGATATGTGCTCTCTTTAGTCTGAGCCTATTTGAGCAGAATACAAATGTTGAAATAAACTGCTTATGCAGATTCGGATAAATGAGTTACAATTTGACATAACTAAAGTATAAAGTGTGATCACTGCGTGCAAACAGCATCAAACCTGCATCTCTAATCCAAAGAAATATGATGTAAAACTCAGGTTCGCTTTATTGGATCTATATGACTGTACACGGAAAAACGTGAAGTGGCTCATTTCGACGGGGCATTTCCACAGAATACCGGCTCTTCGCACATCTCACTGTAAGTTCTACAGCTCTTTGTAGCCACATTGGGATTATGGATATACTTTCAAAAATATGTTTGGAAAAGTGAAAACAGTGCGAACACAGATCCCTTGCTTCTGTCCTCTTCCAAAATAAACATCTCAGTAAGTGCCCCTTCTGTTGTATTTACCTTGATTCAGGATGACATTCATACCATGCTCCATACAACTGTGCAACAACTCATTCTTATGAAACAGATAATACTCCCTACAACTGTGCGACAACTCACCCTTATGTAACAGATAACCCTATGCCCGGTCAATCATCATCATCGTCATTGTTGCACTGTTTTCCTTATGACCTCTTGTATAAAGCTGAATATAGCTAATTTTATTACTTATTTTTTATTTTGACTTGTATCTTTTCATTTATATAATCATGCCTTATTTGACTCCTGTGTCTTGCTGTATTTTGCTACTTATTTAGAATTTATTATTACCATATATATTTTTTTTCTCTCCTTAGCTCCTGTGTCCAAATAATTTCTCTTGTGGATCAATAAATTTTGTCTAATCTATTTAAACTACTTCCTTTTTCAGTGAACCAGCAGATATGCTCATGGCACCTCATGGTGAGTAGCCTTAAAGCCAATGTAAAGACAAATATATAGGCCTTGGGGTATTTCCTGACACAGTTTTGAATACAACAGGAAAAAATGTCTACAGTAAGTAAATGAGTAGGCCTACAGAAATGTAAAACAAGAATATTTAATATATATTTGAGCTTTTTAATCCCCAGAATGTGATGTGTTAATGTGTAAATGCATTTTTTTAAATTTACCCATTGCCTACATTTCAACTGACCAACTGATTTATTACATTCCAACATTTATTGTATTTATTTATTTTTTGAATGATGTTATTTTTGGTTCTTCATAACACACAAGCCCTAGGCTATGCCCACAGACATTTATCTAATCTGTGTACTAAATCATTTCAAAGAGACACTACAGCGTGTTTAAAGAGAGCTCTGCATCAGAATTTCAAGTCACTGTTGCTGCTGCTGACCCCAGAACCTAGAAGGTTTCTTTCAAGAAATGGCTCCGAAGTGAAACTTCACCAATGCTGCTTTCACGGACAGACCGTGCAAATTACAACTTTGCAAACTAATTATATATTATTGGATCAGAACTAGTAAGCCTACTCGGCTACATCACTTGTATTTTGGACCTGGATTGTGCTGACAAAAATGAGTGCACGCGACCTAAAAGGTCTCTTAGTTTTAGCTAAACCAGCCAACATGTGCCTTCTGTGTGCGCTGGTCAGACGAGGAGAGCACCTGTTAAGTCCTCCAAATTCCGAGTGTCGGTGAATGCATCGTCTTCATCGTCACCCCCTCTTCCTCCTCTGCATACATCTCCGTTCCGTGCAGTGGGAGGTTTCCCAGAGTTCCCCAGCTCCGCGCTCCGTCAGCGGGCCTCAGCACGCAGCCCTGCCGCCTCCAGGCTCCCGAGGGCCGCCTGCTTTCCTCTCCTCATCCGTGGGACCCTGGGAGAGATGCGACGCCCCAGAAGCGCACTCGGACACGCAGCGAGCACTCCACGGCAGCAGACCGCACCAGGCATCCGCAGCATCTGAGTTTGTGTCGTCAAAGGAAGGTGAGTTGTGTGGGATCTGAACCGGAGATGGGCGAGAGCACGGGGGAGGCACGACGTGACTCCCCCAGCGTCAGTGCGAGCTCGGAGGCGGTGATATGAGTCATACACCGCTATTCGTCTCGGAGACTATAGCATCAGTAGCATCCTATAGCATCAGTGCAGGATTCAATTCAGTCACTTTTCTCAGGATTCCAGACAGACTGAGGATGAAGGGAAGGCGCGTGGAAGCAGCTTCTTTCCATATCTAAGATCACGTTACCCACAGCGTATTTGGGTTGCATTAAGTGTGTGCGGTTCCTGTAAATACAACTAGGCTTGGAGAATGCTGTGGATTTTCTTAAGTGGAGATGTTCCAGTTGTACCTAGACAGTGGCACGTCTGATGCTGTGGATTAAACTTTTGCGTCAGCACAAGAAGCTCCTTAGTTCATTTCTTCCAGGTAAGGATGTGGTCTTTGCAGTTTTTATGTTGTTTCATGTTTCTGATTGTCCCTATAGTTGTGCAGGTGCAACTAGTTTTTAAAATGCTAAAGCACTTATCTCCAGACAGACTTTTCCTCTTCCACAAGCCTGATATTTCTTTACTGAGATGAGTGCATTTTGGCAGGTGAGCTTCACACTGACAGGTGAAGCTATGATACACTTTGAGTTACTTGGGTGAAATATTGAAAAAGAAAGATAAAATTGCAGTTGTTTTGGAGATCTGTAACATTGTGACATCAAGTATAGTGATGCTGCTGTCAGGAGCCAGGAGCTAGTCTCAGTCAGTACAACTTCAGCTGGAGGATTTCAACTATTGTGCATGTTTTGGGTTTGTGAGGGTCATGGTGGAAACCCACCCAGACACAAGGAGAAACATGCATAGTCACAGAAAAGCCTGGGCAGCCCAGGAGTTGAACTTGCAACCTTCTTGCTGTGAGGAAAAAGCCACAATGCTGCCATGACAGTTACACTCACAGTTTAATATCTGGATTCCCAATATGGTCATTGTGTTTTTCTCCCTGGTGTTAGCTATTTACACTAGTGACAATAAACCTGATATTCTAATTTTTCACATTTTAAACCTTTAAAAAAAGATGTCCTGTCCTTAAGAGTGGTCAGCAGCGGTCAGAGGTAGATGAGATGTTCTCAGCTGGTGTGTGGTGAGGAGTGGTCAGAAATGGTGCTTAGTGGAGAAGACTGGTCAGAGATGGTGCTTAGTGGGGAGGACTGGTCAGAGATGGTGCTTAGTGGAGAAGACTGGTCAGAGATGGTGCTTAGTGGGGAGGACTGGTCAGAGATGGTGCTTAGTGGGGAGGACTGGTCAGAGATGGTGCTTAGTGGGGAGGACTGGTCAGAGATGGTGCTTAGTGGGGAGGACTGGTCAGAGATGGTGCTTAGTGGGGAGGACTGGTCAGAGATGTGCTTAGTGGGGAGGACTGGTCAGAGATGGTGCTTAGTGGGGAGGACTGGTCAGAGATGGTGCTTAGTGGAGAAGACTGGTCAGAGATGTGCTTGGTGGGGAGGACTGGTCAGAGATGGTGCTTAGTGGAGAGACTGGTCAGAGATGGTGCTTAGTGGGGAGGACTGGTCAGAGATGGTGCTTAGTGGGGAGGGCTGGTCAGAGATAGTCAGGGTGCTTAGCAGTGAGGAGTGGTCGTCGCTCTATAGTGTTGAGCTGGTCCTGTGCAGTGTCTTTGTGCATTGGCTGTTTCCATGGAGACGTGTGATATGTGTGTTCTGAGAAGAACAAGTGAGGGACAATATCTAAAGGTTAATCTGCGTTTTCAGATGGGAGTGAGGAAGATAGAAGGCATTGAGGTAAATCAAATCTCTACTAGTACTACTACTAGTACTAGGCCTAGTACTAGTACTACAAGTACTACTACTACTACTACTACTACTAGTCTATCCTCTGCAGCTGCATATGTGTATGATGAGGCCTAGGTCCTACCCCATGCTTAGCCCTGAGTACACCCAACCAGCTGCTGGTCAGTGCAGTCTAACCCTTCACTAAAGCAACAGCAGGTGCATGATTTGCATTAGATTTGTATGACAAGAACAGGCATAGTGGAGCAATGTTGAACAGCACAGTGCTAATATGCGACATGAACCAGGAGCATTGCCCACAGCTGACGGCACACGCAGTCATGCCCACTACACAGCACACACAGGACCAAAGTTACAAGAACTATTCTTTCCTGGACAACTCATGATATTTAATATGAAGTTGAGAAACGATACTAAACTAGTACAGAAGTTTAGACACTCATTTGAGCAGGTATCGGTACTAAAAAAAAGTCCCATTCACAAGACAGAAATGAAGCTTTCCTGAATAGTTTAGAATGATGTTTCTCTGTATCAGAACAAGTGTCAGAGCACATAGACTAGTACACACACATAGACCAACATGAACCTACTGCACCTCTGACCATTACACACATATAAGATCTCACTGAATATAAAAAAGTACTATGATTTAATATTGAAAATCACATTCTATTGTCTAAAGAAGTACTTTTTACTACCATTTATTCCTTTGTATCAAAATCTTTTGGAATGTGAATGAGCAGTGAGGAGCAGTGAGGAGCAGTGAGAAGAGCAGTAAGGAAGCACACAGTTCCATGCAGGGGAAGCACTACGCTGTGGTGAAAGCTTTCTCCTCAGCTGTATGTGCTTCATTTGGTCCATGGGCAGGGGCACTTTTATGGATCACTGGGAATTGTGAGATTGGCTACTGTGTATAGCTGCTTCCTCCACCTGACTGTGAGATGTGATGTCTTTCTTACAGTATCAGCCTCCCTCCTGGTGTGGAGTTTAAGTAGTGCCACAAAAATGAGAAAAACTAAATTAAACATGTACCGATACTAGTATAGAATGTCGGCACTGATATTGAAAATTATACTGGATTGGATATCAGTTTCATATTTGGTTAAAGGACACCTTTCAGAGCTTTTAATCATGTTTTAGCTGTTCCCCCTTCTCATTTACACTCTGGAAGTTGTATTTGGAGTAATTTGTGCTCTGCTTTTGATGACGGTATATTGCTGATCATGCCCTGTGTTCATCAGCATACGCCCAATGTGACGTACAAAATTCCTTCTCAATTTAATTTGATTATATTATATTATGTAGTGTGAACGAGTACATAAATCCACATCTCCAATTCAGACAGGGAGGGTGGAAAGAAAGCCACAGAAGAATGTTTACATTTTATTTTGACAGCCCCAGAGGCCATGGGACAGGTGTCTGTGCAGATGCCTGTGGTTAAACTGGAAGCTTTCTGTGAGTGCGCTGTATGAACCATTTATACATCAGCCCCAATAAATCTGTAACACGACTCTGTGTTGTGATGATGTTTATGGTGACTTCAGCTCCCATTGGGCACTTCATCTTTCTAAAGTGGTAGTCTGCATGTGATTTTTAAGCCATTTTTGTGATTGGGTCTTTAATTGGACGCAATAACACTATTTATAGGCTGATTTTGATCTCGAGGGTCTCACTACTGTTCAATGAAAATATTACACAAATAGGACTAATTATGCTCATAAAAAAGTATTTTGAAAGGTACAATTTCTTTAAAAAGGTACTCAAGTAAATGTAACTTACTGAGCACTTACATTACACAGAATGGATTCTTGTGAGCTGTAAGCCATGTTATAATGCTGTTACCTCATCAAAAACAGCCAGAGTTTTGTGAATGTTTGAGTAATCCTGTATTATTAGTCTGCTCAAAAGGCTTTCTTCCACCTTGTGATGTCATGAAGTGGTAGTTTTCATGTTAATAGCTACCTTTTACCTTTAGTTCAATAGAAATGAACAATTCCAGGGCTGAAATCATCCAAATGATTCTAGTGAAGGTGTCTGTAGTTTAAAAACACAATGGAGCACTTCCTATAACCACAGAACATCACAAGATGGAACATAGTGTTTTCACTCTGAGAGAAGCACTCTGCTTAAATGTGCAGGGTTCGTGCGTTAAACATAGATCTGTGATGATAACACATTTTGAAGTGTGATAAATTATTGTATCACAAACTGACATTTTGTCCTTAGGCAAGACACTTCACCCACATTGGCGAGTATGAAAGTGGAGTGTGCGTGAGAGATGGTGGTGGTTGGAGGGGCCAATGGTGCAAATTTAGAGCTGTGCTTCAGTCTGCCCCAGGGCAGCTGTGGCTACAATAGTAGTTTACCACCACCAGGTATGGAATGAATGAATAATGCTCTGTAAAGCTGACTGACCGACTGAGATATAGACAATAAATTATATATTATTGAAACCAAAACCAAGTATTCTAAATGTACAATATATTTAGAAAATATGACTTGTAATGAATAAATGGCAGAATTAAACACTTTAATAGTTTGTTTGTATCTGTAATGAGTCAGAAGTTCTTTATAAAATCTTCTACAGCTCCGATTTTACCATAATACAGAAAAATAGCCAACATTTTGCCACTAGTGCAAAAAAAATGTCCCACAGATAAATATTGGCCTCCAAAAAGAATCTGTCATCTATTTAACGATTAATCCATATAGTAATTATCATGATAGGCCTATTTAAACATGAGTGAATGGAACAGAACACAACTCCAGGTATGTTTGTGTTGGAAACTACATTATAACTCAAAAAATAGCGTAGGATGGGGCCTGCTGTCTATGCAACAGCAGGATTCAGCCTGAAAATGTGTCAGAAGTGTTTAAAATCCTTTGGTGTCCAGGTGGGGATGGTCACTTGTTCTCTCCTGCATTCACACAGCCGTTGTCCTGGTGGTGTTGTGATGGCTCGTGCTGATGGCTGTGGTATGCGCTCTTGCTGCTGCCTCAGGACCTTGTGACTGCCACTTGTGACTTGTTTGTTGTTCTGGAGATGTTTGCTGTAACTGCTGTGGCTCTCATCCCTGGAGCCAAACTCTGAAAGGAAAGAGCGGATTGGCCAAGTCTGGGAGACAGACTCTGTGCCCGAGTTGCTGATTGGCGCTGCTCTCCTGTGGGTGTGGCTTAGTGCAGACCTCACCC